GACGCAGCCCCAAACAGTTTCTTTCGTAACTATCAGCCTTTATTCATTAATTTGTACTCTAGTAGAGTTTGGGTGGGTACAGACACCTAACTTTATTCCTTGGGCACCTTGGAGAGGTGTTTAAATTTTAAGATTTTGATGCATGCCTGACTAACCCGAGTATAAGTGACACTACCACAAGTAAAAGAATGGAAATAAAACTTTGTGTTGAGCATTTGTTTATTGTGACTTCCCTCTGTTACTTTGTAAACAAAAAGCTTAGTAGCCCCACATTGAAAGCATCATTACTGACTGGGAACGAAATGTTGTTACTAGGTAAGATCTTGCCATCCTTGACCAGCCTCAATAGAAATTTCAGTTGGCAGCCCAATTTCTTAACTCAAACCTGGTTAATCCTTGAAAAAAAGGGGCAAACTGCGTAGAAATTTTGTGTACATCATGTCTAACATTAAAAATCTACTTCAAAACAACACAGGCCACCAATCATAAAAATCCAGGATAAGGTTATGATTCCACAGGACAATCATCCTGAAGTGAACTTCATTGGATTACTCATTGGACCTAGGTAAGTTGGCAATTTTTTAGGGATCAATTATTTTCAATTTTCTAGGAATGAAAATATTGAATACCATTGTGTCCTCGATGCTGTTGGCAATTGCTGATAATAAAATAGGTTCTCTGCTAGGTACAACATTCTCCCATGGTAAAAAAAAATAAAAAATTCAAATCAGTACAGCAATCATTTTTCCAGTTGAATTTTCAAGAACTCCAAGAAATTGTGTGGTAATTGTAGGAGGTATCTCCAGTGGTAAATTTTACCCGTTATTGTTACTAATCAAGTTAATTCATATATTTACAATGGTTCAAGGAGAACACTGTGGGAAGTGTTCTTGCAAGGAGTTTGTTGACATTAGAGCAGTCAGTTTCCTGACAAACAGATTTGCTGACGTCTGAACTCTTTAGAGTTTGGAGCTGTGTTCTTTCCTCTTTATTTCATTGTTTGCCACAGCAGTGTAAAAGCCCCACCAAAACCACTACTTGCATACATGTACATGTCTTAGATGGCAATACACTCTGCCTCCTTTTCAAAGCATTTACATGACAGTTCATGCTTAAGAACATTTGCATTAACGTGTCCTTCTTGTTATTTTACTTTGAATTTGTGCTGAATAAGTGAAAGTTAATGGAAGTTTTTGTGATAGATGTTTCCATTTCTGGCATAGCATGCCAAACTGAACCTTTTCACTTCCAAGATCTCATGAGTCATTCTCCTTACTGTCTGCTAAAGAATTCTTTTAATGTTAGTGTAGAGAACTTGGTATTGGATCAACTAATAATCCCTTAATTGATTTTTTTCTTTCTTCTCATCACTTGTCTGCTTGATATTGTATTGATATTGTAAGGAGAAATTCTGTGTTGATCACACTTGGCAGTCAAGCTGTTGATATATACCTTACTAGCTGTTAAATGGAGGAATGATAGAATTGATTTTTTTTAATTTATTTTTTTCTCTTCTCATTTAGAGGTAACACATTGAAAAAGATTGAAAAAGAGGTAACATATTTCTTTTTTTTTAAATTATTTGTTTCTCTCTTCTTAAGAGCTAACACTTTGAAAAATATGGAAAAATAGGTAGCATCATATATCTCTGATACAGATGATGTGATGAAACCAGCAAGTATTGAACTTTCAGCTAACAATTTGCCACCATGCTTTCATTTCATTGAGAATTTTAATGAATTTGAAGGACTGCTTTCCATCCCATTACACCCCAATCTCAGTATGCATATTCTCCATACTGTTCTCTATACATTTCCTGAGTGATTGACACGGAGAATTTGTTTATTAATCAAGAGCTTCTTCAGTTGGTGATCATTTCCTTTATTCTCCTGACCTTAATGTTTGACTCAGGGGTGATATTGTAGGAGAATTTAGATGTTCATCACTCTTTGGGGTCAGAAGGTTAATTACTGATTAAGGTGCATTTTCTGGTTTTCAGAGTAGCGCAAAGATCATGATCAGAGGAAAAGGCTCTATAAAGGAAGGAAAAATACACAATGTAAGATGTCATGTTTATTTATTTATTTTTATTTCCAACTTCTCACATGATTTCTTTTTTTACATATCTATGTTTGTGCATCTCAATGTATCTTAAACACCAGTACATAAGCCACACTCGCTGATAAGCCTGACCCCAAGTTTGGACAAAAAAATTTTGAAAAGAAATTACAAGGGGAATTCTTGAGAAAATTGCACTTTATTGGTTGCTGTATTAAACAATCAGTGGTGTCAACTCACTAACAATGAAAACAGCGAATACTTTGTAACCTAACTGATAATTTTAGCTGTAATAGTTTGGGCATAGTACCTTAGACTTATGTTTAATCTTACTTTTATTCATTCCTGTCAGATTTTAATAGAATTTTACTTGAAACAACAAGAAATCTTCAGTGCTTAATTTGTAGAATCTTTTTGGCTTGTAGCCAAGTATTTAATACAGACTCATGAATATTCATGAGTATTAATTTTTGCCATTGTTTTTGCAAGTTTGTGGCATGTTTTCAAGATGATCTCATAGATAAGCTACACTACTGATTTGTCTCAAACATATTGAGAAAAAAGGTGTGGCTAATCCACTGGTGTATATAGTGATGCAGTGGACAAGGGCTGAGAATTAAAGAATGAGCAAGCAAGTTCTTTTCTTTTCCCTGATTGTCTCTTGTTTAGGGAAGAAAGGACGGGCAGCCCAATCCTGGAGAAGATGAAGAGCTTCATGCCTTAGTAACTGGACCAAATGAACAGTCTGTACAGAAAGCTGTTGCAATGGTAAGTTCTTTCGGCTTTTTTATGCAGAGGATTGATTAATTTCTCAGAAGAGTAACTTGGTAAATTCTAGTAAGTGAGTTTAATGGACAATTCCTTTCCTTTTTTTTTTTTTTTTTTGCAGATTCGGGATATATTGCGCCAAGGAATAGAAGCCCCAGAAGGACAAAATGACTTGAAGAGGATGCAGCTGCGAGAATTAGCTGCTTTGAATGGAACATTGAGAGATGATGAGATTCTGAGGTAATAATCCTGCCATCAGTATGCACATTTTTGGGACTGTTTTTTCTACATTTCCTAAGATGCTGACAAGGAGAATTTGTATAGAAACTGAGAGCTCCTGGTTGGTGATTGTTTCCTTTATTCTTGTGACCTTGAGGTGTGATTCAGGGGTGATATTGTAGGGAAAAAATTCAATGCTAGTCACTCTTAAGGGTTTAAGGGAAATTTGTCAAGCTTTTTTTGCGGGTTCTATTTGTAGATGTCGAAACTGTGGGTCAGCAGAGCATCGCCATTGGGAGTGCCCTGAACAGAAAAATGTTACAAATAATGTGCTTTGTACAAAGTGTGGGGCAGCAGGCCATCTGGCTTCAGATTGTATTCAAACAGAGTAAGTAACAACTGTTACAGATCACAAACATATAGCTTTTACTAATTTTTATTTGTCCCACAACATAATCATGTACTAGTTCTGTAGAGTGCTGTGTAAGCAGTGTTATTAAGTGTCTCAGTATGTGCATGGTCTATTTGAACCCAGAGATATATTGTTTATAGTTCAGGGATTTCATCAATTTCAGAAGTAGGTGTACATTAGGACATAAGTAGGGCGAAGACAGTTCAGTGGTAATCGAGGCAGATTTGTCACCGGTCATTCTCTTCTGTTCACTTAACATGGCACACAGCGAACTGATCGTGCTGTTGATTGAATTGTAACAACTCATTCCAAAAAGGAGACAAAATATTAACACAAAACACCTTCATTGATGTCTGTCTTTAGAACATATTAAATGGGAGGTAAAATGGCCATAGTTGCTGGCTCCTTTGTGGAGAGTAGCTGCCAGAATTTGCGGATTGCCAGCTTCTAATGAAATCCCTGATAATTAATATCCTACTTACCTTGTTTTCTTGTTTAGTAAGTGGGATAGATTGGCACATTTTGCATAATCTTGCAAAGCATGATGTTTTGTTATGATTGCCTGGAGCTTTAGTAATGAATTAAATATTTAATTATTAGTAGAATACAAGATGTTTACAAAGGTGTTGATTTAAGTTAAAAAAATTAACTAATGCAATATTTCTAAATTACTTTTGCTGTTTTTAACCTTTTAGCCTACCGCCTATTCCTGTGGTACAAGTGGACAAGGCAAAAATGGATAGTGAGGTAATATTGATTTGACCCATTTGACTCCCAGAAGTGATTGACTAGTAATTTCTCTCTATAATATCCTATACGTTATTCAGCAATCTTGTAATGAGAATACTCAAACCAAGGGAAGCAGGGATGATGTAGCAGTGAGAGTACTCGCCTCCCACCAATGTGGCCCGGGTTCGATTCCCAGACCCGACGCCATAAGTGGGTTGAGTTTGGGTCGGTTCTCTTCTCTGCTTCGAGGGTTTTTCTCCGGGTTCTCTGGTTTTCCTCCCTCACCAAAAACCAACATACAGCTGATTCCAGCTGGCTGTAAGCTGTGCTCCAAGATCACACATGAACTGTATAATGGCTGCCAGGGGTGCCATTGTAAGCTTTAGGTTCGACCTTGTTGAGCTGCATTGTTGCTGTACTTTGCAATGGCAGTTAGCAGTGAAAATTATTATTTTTAATTATTATTATTAAATAAATGAATAAATAAATAGTCTTTATTTCACTGATAAAATACATATCAAGTGTTACATATAAAGTGTAATGGGCTAAAATATGTATTAATTACTTACAGCTAAGTTATGCTTAAAACTAAGTCTATTAATAAAAGAATTTATAAAATGCTCAGTATTGCAAAGTGGATATATTGGCTTAACTTGCCTAAGCCTATGAGTAGCAGAGTTAATCCTGGGAAGGGAGTGGTGCAATGGATGATGTTCTCACGCGCTTAATTTTTTGAAGATTCCTACATCAGACTTGTCTAAGCAATTGATAATAGAAACCGGAGAAGACGTGTATCTACGTTTGCAACAACAATCCAGGAAGCATTGTATGGTAGTAAGTTCTGGTGGAGATAAACCATATACTGATATTCCGTATGTAAGTTCAGGCAGAACCAGAGCGCTGAATAATTTATCCAACTCTGCCTGACAATAACCCTCCGTTCTAAGAGTTCTAAGAATATATAGGCATTTATTAGCTGAGGCCAACTTATTCTTGATGTGAATAGAGAACCTACAATTTTCTCGAAATGTAACCCCCAAAATACATAGATGTGAATGTTGAGGGATATTTTGTACTGTGTCTAATACATACTTGTAGCCCTTCTTTCAGAAAACCATTTCTTTACATTTAGAGAAATTACACTTCATAGAATTATCGATACACCATTCTGTAAAGTTATTAACCATGAGCAGCAGTATTACTATCACTATCACATTAATTATTAATTATTATTATTAATTATTATTCTTAATTAAATTATTAATTATTATTATTATTACCAAGTAGATGTTGTTATCTTGGTCTAATACCAAATTCACCTGACTAATTCATAAGGAAATGTGGAGCAGTTAATTTAAAAAGGGACAATTCACAATTAGATTTTGCAAGTGAAAGGGTTAAATGTGACCTGTTTTGCTCTGACGAAGGGCTAATGCTCGAAACGTCAGCTTTTTAACTCTTTACGGTGGCCAATTTACAATATCAACTTAGTTGATGTAACCAAATTACCTTGTTGCCCCCACAGACGCAGCACCATAGTTTCAATAGAAACTTACCCCCTGTTTCTAAACAGTCTCTTGGGTGCTGATCAGAGAGAACACATGACAACGAATGTCCTTGCCTTTTGAGGCAAGGCACTCCTATGAGTCACCAAGACAGAATTTCTCCTCACAAAATAAATACAATTTCAAGCCAATAAGTGATCCAATACCAGTGCAATTCAATTCTTGAATCAAACATCATAAGAATTTTATGGCAGACAGTAAGGAGAATTTGTCATCAGATCTGGGGAGTGAAAGGGTTAGGGTTTGAAAAGTCAGTTGTTAAATTCACCAAGCTTCATGGATGGGTGCAAATAGCAGAAGTAACTTGTTTTTTTTTTGTTTGTTTTTTTTTTGTAGTACATGTCACTCATGGCAGAGCTAGGAGAGGGCCCTCTGCCAGAGCCAAAGGTGCAGCCAAGGCTTCCGCCCCCAGTGGAACAAAACAGGCCACCACCACCTCAGCACACACCCACACCACGCCCCACTCTACCCATGCAGGTATGTTCAGGTTTACAACTAACTTTTTATGGGGGTGTGAAGTGGCTCTGAATTGTTCTGGATGGACCAGTTTTAAGGTTGAAAAAGTTTTTAAGATGTTTCCACATTAAAAACATTTTCCTTCTACTGAATGATCACCAGGCAAATGAACATTGTCTTAGAGTGTCATGAAAAAAAATGAGAGATGCTTGGTCTCTTTGACAATGATTTACGTAAAGACCTTTGACAAGACTTCAAAATATTTACATGCTTGCAACCACCACTAAAGTTTTGGTCATCGTGTGACTGATCAGTCATTTCTCTGTTGCACTGGCAGCCAGCCAGCTGGTCACAATTTTGGACCCAGTAGCTATGATGAGAACAAACAAACAAATAACACAGGGTGATTTGAGATGTGAAACTTTCCAAGGGGAAAACAGTTGGTAAATTAAATGCAATTTATGAGTAAATGGAAAAAGAAACAAAGATTTAAAATCAGATATTTAGAACAGAGTGAAGAAGAAGCACAAAGCAGGTGGGCAAATGAAATGACTGAATTTATTAGGGCAGAAGGAAATACAGATTTGCATTGTCATCAAATTTGTTTCTTGTTTCTTGTTTCAGAACACCAATCAAGATCGGCCTCCATCCTCTGCCCCACCACCATGGGCGGCACCACCAGGTCCTAAGCCACTCATGAGCACGCCAGTGCCCATGCCTGCGGGAGGGCCACCTCCACCACCACCACCACCTAATGGTAATAATGCTCCACCATGGGCAAAACCTGGTCTGTTGCCTCCTCCTGGTGGACCACTGATGGGTAAGAGCTGGCTCTCTTAGGAGCTGACTGTCTCAAGAGCTGACTGTCTTAGGAGCTGACTGTCTTAGGAGCTGGCTCTCTTAGGAGCTGACTGTCTTAAGAGCTGACTGTCTTAGGAGCTGACTGTCTTAGGAGCTGACTGTCTTAAGAGCTGACTGTCTTAAGAGCTGACTGTCTTAAGAGTTGAATTTCTTATCAAGCTGCTGTTGTCTTAAAGAAGGGTTTCAGCAGTGACAGATTTACGATTGTATTCAAGACTGCTTCTGACCTAGTGAAGATAGAAAATAAAAGTTGAAGCTTCAGAGAATTGGAGTGTGAAGAATCCAATTGGTACCCTTTTCTTCTGTTCCTTGTCACGACTTTTACTGGACTATAGTGCTCTGCGTGTCTGACAATGACTTTTACCCTTTTACTCCCAAGATCTCATTAGTAATTCTCCAAAGTGTCTGCATTGCAATTCTTATGATGTTAGTTTGGAGGATTTGGTTTTGGATCAACTGATAATACCTCAATTTTCTCTTTCCTTATTCTCATCACTTGTCTGCTTGATGTTACTTGATGTTATATTGATATTGTAAGGAGAAATTCTGTCTTGGTCACTCATGGCAGTGAAAGGGTTGATTCTAACAGTGACATTAGTGAAAGCCAATCTTTGATGCACTTGTTAGTCACGTCCTAACCTCTCTTTTCTTGTTTCCAGGCCCTCCTCATCCTCATCAAGCTGGCGGTCCACCACCCCCTCCCCCTTCGGGTGGACCTGGACCATATCCTCCCCAGGGACCTGGGGGACATGGACCCCCACCCCCACCCCCACCAGCATCTGGTGCTCCCCCTCCGCCTCCTTGGCAGAGTGAGTATAGAAACCTGTTTGGAGTAGTTGAAATCTGGGAGAAACATTTATCATCTCTGTAAAGGTCAACATGCTGGTTAATACCTAAGTTTGAAGTGAAAGGTTGATGCAGTTTTTAGTACAGAGGCATCAACTTCACTGGTTGGAGATAGTTTTTTTTTAGTGATTATGATGACTGAGCTGAGCTTATACCTGTCCATGTTTGGAGAAGTGTCAAAGATGTGGACTCAGTATATACCACACCAGTGAATAGTCCTTTTAGTACACGCTGATTGGCTAGTATGGAAGTGAAAAACAAGTACTATTTACTTCCTAGCAGCTATTGAGACAAAATTGTTTTTCAACAGTTTCATTCCGACCATTTTTTGGTATATTAAAAGAAATAAACTTAATTTTTGGGATCTCTGTGGTTCACACTAAAACAATTGTTCACCTCGGTGTTGGTGAAAGCATTGGTTATTTACGTCACCACTTCACCACTTTGCTGGATAATTGTTCAATTTTGTAGTATTTTATTAACAGCTGTAAACTAACCAACATTCCATATCTTTTTAATTGTCCTCAAGATCCTGTTCCCCCACCATGGCAGAATCAGGGACCTGGATTTGCTCCACCCCCACCCCCAGGGTTTTCTCCTTATGGACCACCCTTACCACCCCCATCAGATGGTCATTGGGTGAGTTATGGTTCTACAGTTCTCATGTTATGGAAGTTTTTCGATTTATGAGATGATTACTGTGGATTCGGAGCTAACAATCCTAGAACCAATCAGGAGAACTGCATGGAAGATGGGGAATTAATTGTGGTTCTAGTCAAATCTTAGCTAGTGCCACGTTAAGGTTCTTGGTCAGAGGAGAAAAGTGAGGAAGTTCTGCCTGGATGGGCCATGTGGCTGCAGTTCTTACTTACCCATTATTTATTTTAGTCTATGCTTAAACTCAGTTTTGAATTCAATTTTCTAATGAATAACTTTTATTTTTATACCCAGGCCCCACCCCCACTGATGGGTGCACCTCCTCCCCCACCACCACCCCCTCCCCCAGGACCACCTCCTCCATCAACATGAGGGACGGAAGACTGGTTCATTCAGGATCAAGAGAAGAATACAAGCGTCTGTGTGGTTCAGTCACATTTAACCAGAGAATTTGTTATCGCAAGTGTAAAATCCACATCTCGGCTCTTTATTTTTCATGCAATTCTAGCATAGTGATAACAACGCTAAGTTTGACAGCTCTTGAAATTTTTGTCTTTGTCATGTCTCTGAAGAAATAGTAAAGGATCAGTTTTGTGTTAAAGCTGGCTGCTCTCAAAGAATTCTCTTCCTTCAATTTCTTCAGCGAAATTGTCTCCAGATGTCTTCATTTTAAAAGGAAATTATCTATAAATTTGTTGCTCTTGGTAAAAAAACAAATGTTGTGTTTCAGGAAATGTCATATGCAGGTAGCCGATGTACAAACGCAGTCCCCCTTAGGTTTGCCTTCCTCCTTTTTAAGAAGAAAAGAAAAACTTCTAAACGTCATATGCTGTAAACGCTGTATCAAATATGTATATTTTTAAACTTTAGTTTGCACTTGGGCTGAAATTGAGAACAGTTTTACCTTGTCCTATGAATGCTTTGGGTCAGCGCTCTTCATTTCACGTCGACTTGCCTGGTTTCTTGGGTAGAGTGGGCGTTAATCTTTCAAACAAATAAAGACAGATGATGATCATAGACCAACTTCTGGTTTATTATTTAACTGATTAAAGGGTTTGTCTTGGTGTAAGAAACTTTGAAGCTTTTTTATCTCTATTATCTTTCTATGCCATTTTATCTCTATTATCTTTCTATGCCATTTTATCTCCCTTTTTTCCTTCGTTTTACGTCACTCGCCAGTGTAACAGGTTCTTACACCAAGAATGAGTCAAACAGAGGTATTTCCTGTCAGCAGCCTATCTGCCTCGTCTCCAGATCCTATTTTATTTCGCTGTTGAAGAGAGCGACATGATAGGCTTGGGGCGTGGGAACTTTTTTTGCACCGTGTTCTGAGAGGAAGAAGAGCCCAAATCCATTTTATTATTCGAAACCAAATGGATAGTTTACAGACTAATTTGTTTTTATCAGCTGAGTTGATAACGTGAATTGGTCGTCATCAAAAGTTTCTAAGCAACATATGGCAATCTGCGGTCTTTCCTTTCACTTAGGTAGCATGGAAAGCCGTAAAAATCCTGAACAAAAGCTGATCGATCAAACCGGCAGTCTAAATCCCACAGGGATCAACGAACGCTTTTCATTCAACTAATTTATTCTCGTTTTTCTCGTTGTCATGTTCCCACCAATAACGTAGCTCCATCTTCTACCATCAAAAGCACACACAAACCACAATTCCTCTATTCGCTCCGACGAAGGGCTAACGCTCGAAACGTCAGCTTTTGTAATCGTTACGGGGGCCACTTTACCATTTCAACTTTGTTGATAAATCCAAAAAGGTTCTAAAGCTGACTTTCAAGCATTAGCCACTCCCTTTGGCCAAGGGCTATAGGCCAGCGTAAGCGCTAACTGTTGTCGTTTTGTCCAAAACTGTTTGCCTTTGTTAGTTTTCTCATGATCCTTCCACGATCTGACCTGGTTTCTGACCTCATGCGATAATATCGGATCTTGTGATTAAATGCCAGTATCTCCTGGTTTTGTGTGTCTCAATACAAAGCCATTCACAGATTCCATGCTGATTTCACTCCGTCATAATCGTTCCAAGGCCCACTTCTCTTTCTCATCAAAGGCAATCTCGAGCTTAAGGACATCTAAAAATTTTTCTTGGGTAGGTACGTCGCGACCATATCGCTGAAAAGGAGCTGGAATAACCCTGGGCTTGAGATTAATAAAGAGGGTAAGTTTCTAACGGAAATGTGCTGCTGCGTCGTACGATCCGTGAGAGGTTATTGGGCACCTTAAAGAGTTTCTAAAGATAACATTTCCAAGGACTCTGACGAAGGGCTAACGTTCGAAACGTCAGCTTCAGAAACTCTTGACGGTAGCTAATTTTCACTGCCGATTAAAGCGTTTCTGCTTATTAGAGTGTGAGAGACTAGGCCCCCAAAAGGTGAAAAGAAGAGAGAATCTGGGAACGAGATGTGTTAGAGAACAGAAAGGGTTTCATACGAGCCGTGCGCGATGGGCGCTTTGGAGCGCTTGATTGATCGAAGATTTGTCCCGGTTTAGAAAATGTTTCGTAACCACCAGAACATTTCTCTCCTTCTGTATTTCTTTTTTCTCGTCCTCTAGCTTGTTTTATGGGCGCTTTGTCGTGTTGTGTCCGCCAAGATATGACCATCTTCCGTCCTACGCCTCTCTCGGCTTCGCCGCACATCGCTTTGGTACGTACAGAACCACCAGCTTTGCAAGCTATTTCTTGTCTTGTGTACTTTTGCTCTTTTTTACCTTATTTTTTGTTTTTCTTTTAATACCTAAAATGCAAACCACGAGCCGAATGCGAGTGATTTACAAACTTTTCTATTGTTCTTGTAAACTAAACTTAAAACATAAATTTTCTATGGGTTTTTAGTATAATTTCAGAGCTGAGCAAAGAGTTTCCAGCAATCTGATTGGTCGAGCGGTTCCTTATATCACGCTATATAAACCGCTCCGCTCGGTTTATGTAAAATGTTAAACTAAAATGTCATAAATGTTACTAAAATGTTATGATTTTAGAAATTTCTCTGTTGTTCAACTCTGAAATTATACTAAAACAATGATTCGCCTCAGGTTCGGTGAATATTGTCGAATAATCTCCTCGACTTCGTCTCGGGGATTATTCGACGATATTCACCTCGCCTTCGGCGAATAATTGTTAACTAGTTGCAATGAACGAAGGCTTTTTTTGACCAGTAGGGGCGCTCGTAGTATTTCAGTTATTTTTTAAAGATTGATTCTGAGTGGGATTGTTGTCGCTTTAAAAACATGTGGTTTCAAAATTTGTCACTGCATTGTTCCACTTGAGAGGAAGAAAATCTTCAATATCACGCGAGTAGTACATGATCATCAGCCACACAACTTGCAAAAGAAAAAAAAAAGAAACAAATACAATACAACAAAATAAATAAATAAAACATACTTTGATCTAATCTTATTTTTATCAGTATTTGATCTTTTTCTTTAAGATAAATTGAGGGTATCAGTTGAAGACAAAAGCAATCGACATGTTTCTTCCTTTGTTTTTATTTCATGTTTAGAAATTCAACCTTTTCTTTGTCCTTTCTTCTTGTGGTGGAGTGGAGTGCTTATTCCTTTTCACTCACTGTGGAGCATAGGTCCAAAGAAACCTCACGCCATCTCCTTTTCTTGTAGTGAAGTATCATTCCATAAATTTCTTCCTTAAAACAAAAATATTCATCAACTGCTTTAAAATCGATATTAAAATTAATTTATGCTTTCATTTGTTTTTTTTTTTTTTTGTTTTTTGTTTTTATTTCATTGGTGATATTTTGTTGTAACTGATCAGTGAAAGTTAATTTCGACCGCGCTTGTTGGCTGGGTTTAATGTTCAGAGGTACCTAATGTTTTTGTTGAAGTAAATGATTAATGCGTTGAAAGAAACTGCATTTGATTAATCTTTGACATAAGCGCTTTGATCTGTTGTGGCAGACGCCGTGTGATAGTGTTTCACAAGCGCCCTCGTAACGAACGAGCTAGTCGATTTCGTGTGTAATTCAACCTTACAACCTCTTTTATAAGTTTGGAGAGAAATCTGTTCTTTTCTGAAGATGCAAGTGTCGTAAACTACGGTGCTAAGAGATGGAAAGTCGCGCGGAAGGTGTGTTTATCACTGTTGTATGTTAGAGATGCGAGGAATTCTACCCTGCATTGGCGTGTTCTTCAGCTTTCGTTTAGCATGAAAGATATTGTGGTGAGTATCTACAAAATAATTCCTGTGATGTTTTTTCTTCGTCGTTAACTAAAAATGGAAACACCCCTGCCATAATTTCTTCGTACCATCTCAGGTTAGCTTGGCTTCTCGTTTTAATACGAGATTAAAGCATTTAAACACATCCGTTTAACGCCACTGATTCCAGAATCAACTTACTTGTCCGTAAAATTAATAAAAATATACTTTAGATGAACATGGTTGTTCTGTAACATCCAAGCTCCCGAATTTAAGTGCAACTTTAGAAGAAAAACCTTCTAGGCTGGGGTCCTCTTCGTAGACTGGTATGTATCTGTCTTGATTATTAACTTTGCGCTTTTTAATGCAATCAGTATTTACATAACCGAAAAGAAAATTTGGTGAACAAACGATCTGGATAGAATCCTCAACCATTCGCTTGAAATGTGTGCCTCAAATTTTTCATTTCAACACAGACTGAAATGGTAAGATCGATCAAAATGATTTGTTTCTTTTTTGTGTGTGTGTATTTGAGAATAACGTCTGGAGTGTGTAAAAAATATTGCTGTCGCAAAGACAGCACACGACTAATTTGCTTATTTCCTTGCGTGCTATTTTGGCATAGGAACGGATTAAGTCTCATTTTTTTTTTTTTAAACAGATGTTTTAGTATTAGAAATTTGCAGATAAATTATACTGTGTTGATGTCTGACAAATTCATGTGCATTATTTCGAAAGGCGTCCCGCGTGGACGCGAAAGAAATTACAGATAACAAACCAGCACGGCTAGACATTATTGGGTCATCCTAGGTCAATTGAGAGTCAAATTAGACATGTTGGTCTTTGATTCTAAACAAGCTGTATAAAATTTATTCCTGAGTTAAGTTGAAGTCAATCGCTTTTTTTTTTTTTTGATTTGAGCAATACAACAAAATACCTCCTCAGTCCACACAAGTCTAAAATTATCGAATAATATATTTATTTATTCTTTCCCTGATCACCTACTCTTGACATAGAGTAAAATATTAACTGAATCACTGGATCATTGGACTGTCGGACTATATCCTGGACTAATTTTGTGCCATTTATTTTCCTCTGAATTTGACAAGTTCACTGCTTTGAAAATAATGAAAATTTAATGAGTGGGAACGTTCATGGAATTTAACCCCAGTCAGTCAGTTTTAAGAGATAAAAAAGAATGGAAACAAAAATTATCGAAAGGTTACTGCTTTTGTCTTTGATTCTACAACTCGGAAAGATGCGAAGTTGCATTTTTTTTGTTATGGCTACGTGTCTCGCATGCGCTGCGCGAATACCGCGCGTGTCAATGCATGCTCAGGAGCATGCGTAGTTTAAAGTCTTGGTCCAACGAGGCGTTGTGGGGCTGTATTATTCAAGATTTCTGCCCTTGCTAGTGACTCGAACAAATACTTTTCTTGTAAGGCGTTTTCGCCCTAACGCTGCTACAAAAATCTGCAGCACTGCATTTGACTTAGGGTTGATCTACCATTCTGAATCGAGGGTCATTTTCGAAAATGAAGGACAAGGATAAAACAACTTTGAATCAGGTAAGGCGAGAATGGCGCGTATTTAGTAGTCCTACGATCAGTTGCATGGTCGTAACCTTGCTTAAAAATTCTCTCCTTCATTCAGCGCCTTATTGCGCCTCAGGACTCACAAAATTCGCCAGTTCATTTGTTATTGGAGTCAGGAAAAATTATTTTTGTTGTTTTTACAAACTGCGCTGCTAGGCTGGAATTCTGTTTTGTTATTTTCTTCCATAACTTAATGTCACGCACAGCGACGAAGATAGCGTCTGTGTACTCTGACCATTTTCTTCAGACTGTATTTTTCTAGTCTGCCCTTTTGGCAATGTCAAACGGCCATACCTTACCTCGGAAGATTTACAAAACAAAACTTAAGCTCTTCTTTCTAGTCTGTAGTTTGAAATCAACCATAGGATTTCCTGTGTTGTTCGTTTAAAAAATAATAAAAAACCAACTCTTCTCCGCATCTTCTGGATCTTTCGTGCGAGACTATGAACGTACGATTCAAAGAAGGTGTTTCTTCTCTCCTCTTCGCATGAAATAATTATTTATTGTCAGAATTTTTTAATCGAACGAGCTCATGTGGTTTGGATTCTTCAATCTATATTCATTAATTTAGCCTGCTATTTACATGTGTGTGAAATGTAAGGACGGTCTACTGTTCAAGCGCTCTCGTAGCTTTTAATAATTTTATTGGGAATATTCCAGTAACTTCGACTATGGTTGCAGTCGAACTTTAAACGCGAAGTAATGTAAATGTCTTTTGAATCTTTACTCGTGTTAGTTTATTGTACTTAAAATCGTTTCTTCACGGCTTAAATATCAATCGTAGAGTGACGCGATGTTTGAATTTCCAGAATGTGCATATGATTATTCGCAAAAAAATATTCCCGGTTAATCCTTGTCGTGGGGGCGTGTTGTAATAGGCGTGAAGTCCACCACACCTAGCCCTATGCAAACGCAAACTTTATCCATTTTCAGCTTTTTTCCACTCAAAACTATCTTCCGTTAAGGTTTTCTCGGCTTGTACCAAATGTAAGTTTAATATGTCATGTTTGAAGGGCCATATGCCAGATTTATCTGGATCAGATCTTTTTAATCGTTGTTAATGAGGAACGTTAAATGTTTGTCTGTACTTTTTTTGGAGTGTTCTTAGGAAAAGTTCAAAGGACGTTGTGGATCTCCTAGGGAGGCGGTGAACTGCATGTGTTCTTGCTTACGATTTTGGGTGAATGAGCTATTGTTCATCCCAGAGTTGTTGATAACTTTCGAACTTTTGATCGAGATTATGGTTTAGATTTAATACGCTTGGTTACTCATTTTGTAAATGTATATTCATGAATGATAGTGCCACCTACCTCGAATTCCATAATCGCATCTTGGTTTCGAATTCAAACTTCGAAAAAGTCAATTTTCCTCGTTTTCTCGAATCAGCCGATTGATTTTTCGAACGAATGATCAGTTGAAGTTGACAATGAACAGATATTTTTTAGTCTGGTCACGCCAATTACTTCTGTTGTTCTTTTCAATGATTCCTTCGCCAGCTCACCCAAAACTTGTTTACCTATACCTTAAGTTACTCTTGTGTATAATTTCAAAGTAAATATGTTTTCTTTTGTGGAAATTTGGACTTCTGGGCGACAATTTGTGTCTAATTTGTTTTTTAACTTACGATCGAAGTACATTACTATGCGAGGCTACTGTCATCTTTTGCATCGTAGTCTAGAACTTTTGTGGTTTTCATCGAGTTGTTCTGTTTAAATTGCACAATTATTATTCATGATTTCTCTTCGATCTTTCTTCTTGAAAATTAGCAATGCTTATCTGTTTAATATTTTACATTTTCATGTTTTTCTTTTGTTATCGTTTCCATCATCAGGTCGTGTGGACCTCAAATAAATAGACTTAGTGATATACATGAAAAGAAAAGAGATAAGCTGAAGCAATGATTTTGATGATTGCACTAAAAACCAGGAACATATCATTCTGACCCAGAAAGTTGACTAAAACTATGTGGTGTTTATTTCTATAAATTAAATCAAACTTTAGTTATGTTTGATGTGAGTGTGAGTGTGAGTGCTTCATATTTATTTTCATTATTTTAATCTCAGCAAGCGATTCAAATTAAGACGGGGTAAACGTTTTTTTTTTTTTTTGAACAGCGGCTATAGTCAGGTGGTAACAGGGAATTAATAATTTGCCAGAATTAGCAAAGTTGTAAATCAGTTTTGTAACTTTGCTTATTTTGCTCTTCCACCTGTTTGTCTTAGTCTGTATGCATTTTAAATCTCTCTGAATGACTCAAATTAAGACAGAAGGCAAGTATTTTTCTTCTAGCCTCTGTTAGCCAAGTAGTATTAGTGATTTAACATTGTTTGATTTTTTGCAAATTTGCACATTCATTTCGTATTTTGCTTGTTTTGTTTTTCCACCTGTTCCTTTGCATTGTCCACAAGATTAAAAATGTAAAAGTTCGTTCATTAGGTTCGTTACATTTTTATTTAAACTCTCACCAGCTTTTGATTAAGAGCTCTTTCTCATTGTATCTCAACTCTTAGTGGTCATTTGAATATGTAAGGCCTTTAAAATTGATATCATCCAAAATCATTGTTACAAAGCATTGTTTATTATCTAATAATTTGGATATATCAACAAAGTTGAAATGGTAAATTAGCCACCGTAATGATTACAAAAGCTGACGTTTCGATTTGATACCTCATAAAAAAGGTCATGAAAAAGCACTACAAAGCAGATCTTAAAAGTAAATTTTCACCTGCAAGGTTGTTAACATAGTCTATATACTTCTGTTGCGCTTCAGCCTGAAAAGCAAGTCAATGAATTTAGAATAAAACAAATATCACAGTCACAGTGCTAGATTAAAAGACATACACTTAGAGAATCAGTTTAGTTTCTTTTAATTAGAAACTAATACCTTGTTTATTCATTTATGGACTATTGTAGAAAGTTTCTATGGCTGATGTTTCAAGTGTTGGCCTTTGTCAGATCAAATACAGTAAATTTACATTTTAGCAACCTATTTGATTAACACCAGATTATCTTGTGATAGTACAAACAGATGCAGCACACAATTTCTTTAGAAACTAATACATTGTTTATATATCTTATTAACCAAGCGCGAGGGCCGTACTGGGAGAATATTGGCCCAAGGTCTTGAGAGTACGGACCAAGTGCAGCAAGGTCTGTACAAAAAAGACTGCCAGCCGATATTCTTCCAGTATGGTCCTAAGCAAGCTTGGTTAATATGAGATTTATTATACGACTGAAGTTCAAAGGGACACAAGTACGGTATCATTTGGGACCATTCGGGACAGTGCCCGGTCCAATACTGAGAGAATATTGACCGGCAATAGAGCATTTTGATTGGTTGACTTTAGTTATTGGCCCTCTGACTGCCCGAGTCGTGTAATAAATAGTGTTTTTGCCTGGCCATGTCTCAAGCCTTCAACTTCTAAGATTGATCAAGACAGAATTTCTCCTTACAATATCAATACAATGCCCAGCAGACAAGTGATGAGAATAAAGAAAAATATCAATTAGGAGATTATTGGTTGATCCAATACCAAATTCTTGAATCAAACACTATAAGAATTGTATGGCAGACAGTTAGGAGAATTGCTAATGAGATCTGGAGAGGGTAAGATCTGCAAGGGTAGATATAAGTTGTGTAATTTGTCCTCAGGTGGATGTCACATTTTTACGAGCTGCCAGAGCTGGAAACCTTGAGAAAGTTCGCAACTTTTTGAATGAGGAAGGAGACATACATACGTGCAATGCTGTGAGTAAAAATGATCATATTTCTACAGACAAGTTGATGGAAGTAAACATGTACAGTAGGATAAACTACCTTGGGTCAACTTTGTTTTAGCTGTTCAGTCATGTGTAAATGGTTCAAATGTTAATTAAATCCTTTCACTTTCAAGAGTGGAAAAAAAGGAATTTGCCCCCACAATATTTATACCCTTTTGAATGACAAAAAGTTAGGAGAATGGTGAAAGAAATTTTTTTTTTTAACAGAGAGTTAAAGAGTTGAAAAGTTAACAAAAATTTTTGAATTATCAGTTGGAATCTACATGTATAACCAATTTTTTCCCCTTGGTAGCCATAGAGGGTATGTTGAGGTCATCATTTTAAAGAATGTAAGCTTTCAGATCTTGGAAAAGAGATGTTAAAAATTTTTTTCCTTCTTTGCTAGAATGGCCTCAATGCTCTGCATTTGTCGTCAAAGGAGGGTCATGTTGAAGTTGTCCATGAGCTGTTAAGGCGAGGAGCCGGAGTGAACTTCACTACTAAGAAAGGCAACACAGCATTGCACATTGCTTCGCTTGCAGGACAAAAACAAGCTGTAGAAGTCTTATTGGAATCAGGGGCTTCCGTGAACTCCAAAGCTCAGGTATACAGCAGAATTTGTTAAATTAGCATGCTTTGATTTACATCCTTACATTGGTAAGCATATTCTCCATTCTATGCTGTACACATTTCTCAGGGTGCTGTCAAGGAGAATTTCTTTCACAATATTTCATTCTTTTCAAGAATATTTTTAGTCAGCGATCATTTTTTTTATTCCCATGACCTTACTGCTTGATTCAGAGGTGATTCTTGAAGGAGAAATAAGATACTAATCACTTTAAAGAGTTAAATCGTTGGCTACTGTTTTTTTCTGGTAAGAAATGCAGGTGGTGTAATGGTTTGTGCTCGATTCCTGGGCAAAATCTGTGCAAGTTTAACTCTTTTTTTAAATTATTTTTATCTCTGAGAATGATAAGGGTCATCTTATTTCTCTTAACATTATCGCACCACCCCTGAATCAAATACCATAAAAACCTGCCAATAAGCCGCACATTTTTTCCAAAAATTGTTGCCAGAAATTAGGGGTGCGGCTTATCTGCGGCAACATTTGTAAAACGTGTTGTGAATGTCGACGCCAATTTCCATTTTCGTGTCTGATCTAATGCCTGGTTACTAAGCTTTGACTGTTCCACTCGTGTTCTTATTGTAATGCAAAAATCTATGGAAAAACTGTATTGAAAGAAGAAATTTGTGTCAAGAAATATCACAAGAAGATCAATCATATATCAAAGTTGGTAGAAATGATGTTCATTAAAGTGCTAAGACTTTTGAAGTATTTTCCATTACAATATTAATAGTGAGTTTATGTTCAATGAACAGTGGATCAAGAAGACTTCTCAAGACTCAACTTTGGATTTCTTTGGATTTCTTTTGATTTCTTTCAAACAATTTTTTTTTTGAAAATTTGAGCTGCTAAATTCAGGGTTCGGCATATCAGCAGATTTTTAGGGTATATGGGTCACAAGAATAAAGGAAATGATCTTGAACTCAAGAAGCTCTTGATTGTCAGACAAATTCTCCTTCTAAGTGCAGTGTGGATAACTTGCCTCCTAATGTTCAAGCATTAAGGGGCTAAACTTGACAGGGCTCGAATTTAATTTTTGGATCACTAACCCTTCGGGTTAGTACACATCTTTTTTTACTAACCAAATTATAAAGTTTGGTATCCAAGCTCACAAGTTACGATATCTCAATATTGAACAGTTTGATAATAACGACTAGGACAAATTAAAGAGCAGCTGAAATTGCATGGTGACCTAAAAAACGTTGACAATTATGCACCTATTTTATTTCCCTCTCGTTTACCATGATTAGTCAATAACAGTACATCTACAGCACATTCTCTAAAAAGAGTTAAAGTTGACTTAACAACTTGAGTACTCTAAGTATTCCTCTGAGAGTCGGGTCTACGTGCTCTTTGTCCTGAGGTCTACCAATGTTTAAATATGTTAGAAAATTTTACTAACCATGCTTGGTTAGTTGGACAAATTTTTAGTAACCAAATGTTAATGGGTTACCATTAATTTCGAGCCCTGCTTGAGCCTTTTTGCTCCAGAGTCTATCATGCTAAATTAACTTCTTGCCCACCATGTTTCTCACAGACAGATTACATAGTGCCATTAGTGGGTGAATTAAAACACTTTTACCTGTGAATGCCAACAGTTGTTGTGATCTTTTGTAGAATGGCTTCACACCACTGTACATGGCAGCACAAGAAGGCCATGTTGATGTTGTCAGAACTCTCCTGATTAAAGGAGCAAACCAGCAGTGTACTACTGAGGCAAGTGGACAAGTATTTAGTTCTCTAACTCTTCTTACAGCTGTCCTTTTAAATCCCTGAGTGGTAATTCAAACAATTAAGATTACTGGTATTGTCAGTGACTGTTTTTGTAAACTTAAACTACCTCATCTTCAGAATTTACAACTTAGAGTCTTATTGTTAAAATAGCATTGAAAATTTGAAGGGCATCACTGATGGTATCTTTGATACACAATCTTTCCCTTTTGTCCATGTTTGTATAATTTTTAATAGAAAACTGCATTTCAAAAGACACTTAACCCTTTAACAACCAGAAATGATTAACATGTAACTTCTCCCTTTGATATCCATACACTATCCAACAATCATGTAATGAGAATATGGGCCCGGTTGTTCGAAGGCTGACTAGTGCTAACCCAGGGTTGAATTTTAATCCAGGTTTCTTGATTTCTCTGTCCAAAAACTGTTTTGGGATAATTTTCCCCAATTCTTTTTAGAGCACGCAATCATTAAATTGTAGACAAATGGAATGAAACTGAATTTTCTTTTAATTAAAGCTTTCAGATCTGAAATTGAATTTCACACTAACCCTGGGTTATCGTAGCCCACCTTCAAACAACCTGTCCATGATACTCAAACTTATCAGTTAGAATTCTTGCTTGACTAACACCAAATTCTTGCTTGACTAACACCAAATTCTTGCTTGACTAACACCAAATTCTTCTACCGACAACAATCATTCACTTGACTCTGATGATGACTTCCGCACAGGTTGTTGAAACGTCAGTCACTACCACTGACAACAGTCCTTCTCAGGACTACACTCAACCGGACGATCAGACTACACCTTCACCAAATTCTTTCTTGACCAACACCAAATTCTTACTTGACTAACACCAAATTCTTGCTTGACTAACACCAAATTCTTGCTTGACTAACACCAAATTCTTGCTTGACTAACACCAAATTCTTAAAACTAATTTACAAGGAAATGTGTGGCACCTAGAGGTGAGAATTAACAACCTGATCATGACTAACACCAAATTCTTAAAACTAATTTACAAGGAAATGTGTGGCACCTAGAGGTGAGAATTAACAACCTGATCATGGGGTGAAAGAGTGAAAGCGACTTAAAATCCTCTTAAGAGTGTTGTTAGTCTTGTGTATGTTATAATTTGAAATGGCTCTTTGATAAAATGGCATTGACATTATTTTTTGTCAATAAATAATATATAATGAACTAAAAAAAGGGATGATTTGAATRTATCAACAAAGTTGAAATGGTAAATTGGCCATCGTTACGATTATAAAAGCTGACATTTTGAGCGTTAGCCCTTCGTCGGAGTGAAGGGCTAATGCTCGACGAAGGGCTAATGCTCGAAGCGTCAGCTTTTTTAATCATAACGGTGGCCAATTTACCATTTCAACTTTTTTGATATATTCAAATTATTTCGTTATCCCCACCGACGCAGCCCCAAACAGTTTCTTTAGAAACTATCAGCCTTTATAAAAAAGGGATGGTCTTGTTTGTTTTTGTGATATACAGGATGGTTTTACTGCAATTGATGTGGCTGTTCAACAAGGGCATGATAAAGTTGTTGGTGCCCTTCTTCATCATGACTCCAGAGTAAGTTATTCACCTGTTACCTTTTTATAAAATTATGTTTTAGGTTGTTTACAGGGCAAAGGTTTAGTTAATTTCACAGAGTGCCAATTTATGAACTGTATTTAACTTTATCTGTTCATATTTTTATTCACTTTTGGGCTAGTTTATATTTATAAAATTCATATCTAATATATTATATAATCAAATCTACATATATATATATATATTTATATTTTATCTTTAATTCAGATGTTCTCAAGTTTCTCTTAATACTTGTACTGTATATGGATAATTCTCGTATTTCTTAGTTTGTCGAGCRTTTTTTAACATGAGCCTCTGGCTCGGAAGATTGTGCAAGCACTTCCCACGTTTTCAACTTTAAATAAATCATTACATTACTTTACATAAGCTTTGCTCATATTTTTCTAGGCCTGGTCTAGTTGAAAAGTTGCTTCATAGGCGTTAAGTGAGCTGCTGGATCCTGTTGATAAGTCTTTTTTGTTTCTTTGATAAGTTTCTTTTTGTTTAATTGGTTTTTCATTTTTTTTCTGCTACAGAAAGGCTATCGTTCTCTCCATACTGCTGCAAGGAAGGACTTTGCCAAGGCTGCCAAACTTTTGCTCCAGAAAGATCACAAACCCGATATTGAAGCTCCAGTGAGTTGGCTTCTGTTTGCCATGGAAATGCATGATTGTAAAATAAGCATGTGTGCCTAACAGACAATCTGTTCTGTGATGAATTTTTCAGAATGGATTTACACCTCTACATATTGCTGCCAAGTATGGAAATCAAAATGTTGCAGGAGTCTTGGTTCAACATGGTGCCACTATTGACTACAAAACAAAGGTTCAGGATGTAGTTTTAATCACAAATTGTGAAAATTACTACTGTTATTTTGCATAAAAATGAAGGCTTGTTTGTCTAGTAAGACACTGTAGTTTTACACTTTTATATGCTCTTTCAGCATAGGTGTTTTTAAGTAAAAAATGGTTGTGTGAGTTAATAATTTGTTTACTTTTCTCTCCACAGAATTATGTTATTGCTCCTCTTCACGTGGCTTCAAAATATGGAAACCTTAATATTGTTACACTGCTAGTCGAAAAAGGTTCCAAAGTTGACATTCCTAACAAGGTATTTTAGCTACATACATTCAAGTACTTAACCCTTTAACTGCCATGAGTGACCAAGACAGAATTTCTCCCTAAATTATCAATACAATATCAAGCAGAAAGGTGACGAGAATAAAGGAAAATATCAATTGAGAGATTAGTAGTTGATCCAATACTTAATTCTCAAAACTAACAACATAAGAATTGTATGGCAGTCAGTCAGGAGAATTGCTAAGGAGATTGTGAGAGTGAAAGGATTAAAAACTTTTTTTGTGGTTGAGTTGAGGAAAAAAAAAGAAGAACTTTAGGATGAGCTTGTGTTCAGGTATTGGAGTATAATCTTACTCGTTGTCCAGAATAAGGAGAATTTAAAGGAGTAACTCACAAATAGGATGACTCAAACTCTGTGTCCAACAGGATGGCCTCACACCTCTTCATTGCGCTGCAAGGGATGGGCATGACAAAGTAGTGGAATACCTTGTGAACAAAAAGGCATCGATAACAGCTAGAACTAAGGTACAATTGTCAAAGAATAACCTCTTGTAAAACCATAGCATTGAAGAGGATTATGGAAGTTATGGAAGTGTTTCAAACAAGCCTCTGATTCTCAATGAAATGTGTTTTGATCAGTACCAATGATTATTGAAGCATGAGTTGTCTACTGCATTTTTGGATTGATTGTTGCAAAACCCAAATTAAAACAATCCTGGCTAACAACCTACCAGCAACATAAGAAATATTACAAGGTACCAGCAAGAACTTGGAAAATAAACATCGATGCAACCTGCCTGAAGCTCAGGAAAGGGAAACTGACCAATTTATGATTGGTTTTAGTTTGCATTTGCTCCCACGATGGGTTAATGCTTGAAATGTCAGCTTAAGAAACTCATTACAATGAGCGATTTACATTAGAAACTCAGTTGATAAAAACCAAATTACAAGTTAGTATCTTTTGCTACCCCCTACAAATGCAGCACAAGAGTTTCTTTAGAAACTTACCCTCTTTAGTCAATTGGTTGATAGGCTGGAATGAGTTTTAGGACAAATTTCAGAGTGCTTACAACGAAAACCATCACAATCTCATGGTTCTTTAATGAATATTTGAGAATGATTGTAGACCTTTTTTTTTTTGTTTTTTTTGACAGCATGGACTCACTCCTCTACACATGTCTTCCCAAGGAAATCATGTCAGCACATCTGCACTACTGATTGATAGCAAGGCACCTGTCAATGCTGTTGCCACAGTAAGAACCAATGATTAAAAACAGTTGCATCAGTATGTATATTCTCCATATTGTTCTCTATACATTTCCTGAGGTGCTGACAAGGAGAATTTGTTTGACAATTAAAAGCTTCCTTACTTGGCAATAATTTCCTTTATGTTTCGGCTTTAAAGTGTAATTTGGATTTTGATCTATCTTTTGCTCTTCTTGAAGTCTCTAAGATTTAATTCTTTTTAACCTGTGTTGTAAACACTAGAAGACCAACTGGTTTAAAACATTGTCATTTGTTTCTCACTATTTTTATTGGTGGGACAAAATTTACTTTTCTTGTCATATTACATTTCATGATACTGTAAATTGATATAGCTAACTGTGTATGATTACATTTTAATGGAGAAGGGATAAAGTTACCTTCAAAAATAGATATTGACATTTAAACGCACAGTGATATGCATGTATTCACTTTGTCGTAAAGCTTCTTACTGTATATAGTGTTGTGCAATTTTTATTCAGCAAACTAGTGTTTTTGTGGAAACTACACTTTTTCATCATGCGAATGGTTTGTATGTCTTGTAAAATTGATATTATTAAGAAATATCTGAGATTTGTTGTATTCCTTGAGATTTTTGGGAACATTGATTTTGCTATATTTTCACAGAATGGCCTGACACCTCTTCACATCGCAGCACATTATGGTCATGTAGACATCGCAGAATTGTTGTTGAATCGTGGAGCTGACACTGATGCAAGAGCTCGGGTAAGATTTTGTGGTTTGAAAATAATATGTACTTTATGATGGTGTAGCTTAGTTTAACAGAGCTTGTGCTGAAATAAAATGGAAATTTTTTATAGATGCTTTTCGAAATGTAAACTGCAACAATTGTTGTCCAAGACAAGTTTATACTCTTTCGAGAATTTTTCATGATTCTTTTTCCTCCTCCAAAGTTCTGTTTCATTCGCAAACAAAGCCAAAATTATGCAAGTTGTTTTGAAAGTGTTTCAATTTTTTTGTTTTACGCTGTACCTTGAATTATCAGAAATTAAACAACTTGATAATTTTTTTTCATTGAGGATGTAAGATTTTATGGTGAAAAAAAATGGCATTTTTTTCCAAATAGAAAAGGATTAACTGACAGCTTTTATGGTCATTGTGTTGATTTTTCCATCTAGAATGGATTTACTCCACTTCATGTGGCCTGCAAGAAAAACCGTGAGCAGGTTATTCAGCTGCTGTTGAAGTATGGTGCAAATGTCCACTCTGCCAATGAGGTATATAATTATATATATATATATATATTTTTTTTGGTAAACATAATCATGCATTTTAAAAAGAGTAGGGACAAAGCTGAATTTTGAGCAAACAAAAATGCTTCTGAAATTGTCAATCCTAGCAGCATAAAAGATGCATGTCACGTATGGACGTAGAAATGGCATAACTTACCACAAAAAAACTCACATTGTTCAATTCTCTTGGCAAGGCAGTCTTTCAAAAAACTGCTGTTTGTCACGATAGCCTGGGGGGCACTTTATTGTTGGAGTTAACAATATAATTTTCTCCATGCAGCATATATTTTGTGTTTGATTTAAAATGGGAAGTGTTTCTTTCTTTAATTTCCCTCCAGGGTGGCCAAACTCCCATGCATGTGGCGACATATTATGGGAATGTGACCTTAGTTCTTATTCTTCTGCAACATGGCGGCTCACCTGATATTACAAATGTGGTAAGTCCCTTTGCAAAATAAGAATTCCAAATGTTCTTGCTTTTTCTTTTAATTACTGAAAAGTTCTTTCTCAACCCAATATAAAATCTATTGTTCAAGTTAACAAAAGAACACATGGCTTCATTTGAAACCTCATTTCATTAACATAACCATTGTTCATTGAAATGCGTTTTCTTGGTGTTATATTGTATACTCGTATATTATAGTTATCAATACTTAATGACATTTTTTTTTCACAATTACTATTGTAAATAGAGATGTTTTGAAAATAGGAATGTTGTCTCCTCCCTTGAACTCACAACATTCTTCAAAATTAGCAGAAACTGGAGTTAAAAATTTTGATAATTTATCATAATTATTAGAATGGCACTTAGTGAACTAAATGATATGAAGAATTTACACTTATTTAATGAACTTAGTGGTTTGATATAATCTGTGCTAGTTTAAAAGGAATTTCAGGTCAAAACGATTTTAAACTAGTTTGGTATTTGTCTCCTTCTTTGTCTTAGGTACATGTACCCAACTTTATCATTCCCCTTCTATGTCATTTTACAATATTTGAGCATATAAACTTGCAAAGCATACCACAGCATTGCACTGCAGAACAGGGCAAAACTACAGACAGAAAGTGGAGCAACAAAATGGCTGCTCTAAACAATCTAAACTTTGTTTGTTTTTTCCATTTTTTGTTTTTTGTTGGTCACAACAACACTTTACTTTTGATTCCATCTGTGTCATGACTGTTATGAAACCTCTGCCAGATTAAAGGGAATTTTGTCTTTAATTAAGCAAAGGTTATTGCCCTTGTTTTCTAGAGAGGTGAAACTGCCCTTCATATTGCCTGCCGGAAACGACAGATAACAATTGTGAGGCTTCTGTTAAGGAATGGTGCTTCAGTTGATGCCAAGACCCAGGTGAGAATTTATGTGATGGTTTGCTGACTTACCTAGGTACGTGACTTTACCTTTTAAGCCTTATCAGTTTTTTTTTTGTGTGTGTATGTCTGATTTGTTGTACTGTTTGTAATTTGCAGGACCGTGAAACTCCTTTGCACATTGCTGTTAGAACAAAGAATGTTGAGATGGTTAATCTTTTACTGGACCATGGAGCTTCTCCAGATGCCATAGACAAGGTACAAATACTTTCAAAACTCAAATGGTACCATCTTTGTTAGCCTGTTAAGAATGAAACCAATTTTGGTAGTGATCAGTAGAGTTTTGAGAATCTTAAAAAAAAATGCCAATCCGCTGAGGGAAAGATTGTTGAATTTTCTTTTTCACTTCGAAGAGCAAAGAGTATTCAAATGCTCCTTTAACCCTCTGGCCCCGAAGAGTGACTAACATCTAATTTCTCCTTACAATGTCACTCTGAATCAAACATTAGGGTCATGAGAAGAAAGGAAATGATCACCAACTAAAGAAGCTCTTGATTAATAAACAAATTGTCCTTGTTAGCACCCTAGGAAATGTATAGAGAACAGTATGGAGAATATGCATATTGATTTGAATAAAAAAAAACTCAATGCTGGGGATATTGTTTTGATGCAATACCAGATTCTCAGCTTTGACTAATAGAGAAATGTATGGTGACCATTTGGGAGAATTTAGCTTTTTAGGTCTTGGGAGTTAAGAAAACAGACAAATGACTAACAATGCTTCATTTCATTATCTAGAACAAGTGCACTCCTTTACACATTGCAGCCAGGGATGGTAATGAGGAACTTGTTCAGATCCTTCTGGAGCATAGTGCTTAAGTAACTGAGTTATCAAAGGTATGTACTTAAACACATTTACACCATTGATAGCATGCTAAAGCAAAGTAATCTCAGAGCAATAGATTGGCTATGTAGGTTCCTATTGGACAGTTAAAGACTTAGACTTTGTCAAAGTCGTTCGCTTGGTTTTCTGTTCTGGTGTGGCTCGCTCACTCGGCTCACTCGCGCTTCACACTCACTCGCGCTTCACACTCACTGTCGCACTACGCGCTCAAAAGCGCGACTTGTGAGCAAGTCTGTTAAATACTGTATTTTTAATTATTTCTCTTTTATGGTAAAGCATCATAGGCCAACCTCTGTTTCTTCCATTTCAAGATGTATTTTATGATTTAGTCAAATGGGATGTCTCCTGGAACTTTTTTTTTTTTTTTTTTTCCAACAGAAAGGATTTACTCCTCTTCATGAAGCTGCCAGAAATGGTCATGTTAGAATTGTGGAAATCCTGCTGAAAAACTATGACAGCCCTGACCCAGAAGGAAAAGTGAGTGAATTATTGTTCTTCTGTATTATGCAGTAAATTACTAGTTGAAAACCAGGGGCACTCATCTTTTCTTTGTGATCAGGGGTACTGAGATGCTCAGGGATCTGAGCTCTCTTGGACTAAAAGGATTTGAGCATTGGTGTTCAAGTAGTGTTTCATGAGCCTGGGGACTCCTCTGACAGACTGTTCCAATAGCTGGTATTTTATCAGTGCGTGAGATGCCTGCTCTCTAGCTCAAGGGCAGATTGCCATTATCTGCCAGCTTTAGAACAGTTTCCATGTTTAGTAGCTAGCTGGTAAGAGCTGGAAGCTGCTAGATATCTCAGGTGCTTAACCACAACTTTGTGAAGCAACTTTCCAGATGATATTTAGCAGGTCTGTCCATGGGAAACTTAGTTTTTACATTAATGAATTTTGTTCTCTCTTCAGCATGGACTCACACCTCTTCATGTAGCAACTCACTATAACCACGATAAAGTTGCCACTTTCCTTTTGGATAACAATGCCAACCCTAATTCTATGGCTAAGGTAAGGAAAGCCTTCATTTTGATAATTTTCTTAACTGTTTTATCACAAGAAACCGAACGTTGTTTACGTTGGTGTGGCTGTGTTTGCAGAAATACCATGAGCATGGAGCATTCTTGGATTGAGTTTCGTGAAACCAAAACCAAAGTAATCACAACAGCCAATCAGAAGAAAGGAAAATACCTTGAAGAGCCAATGATAGCTAAAGTAAAAAGAAGCAAACTGCCTAAAGCGCGGGAAAACGCGTGAAAACGCCGGCGAGCAAGGCGTGATTGGTTTTCATCTTGCATGTGATTGGTCGAGAGTGTGGCACGAGTTTTTCTGGACCAATCACAGAGCGGAGTAAATCAAACCCAACGTGATCTCAGATTACTTGTTATACTCATTTTATAATTGCTCTTTCATAATTACAATCTTAATGCATATTTCCATGAGCTTGGCCAATTTCACTCTGAACGTTACTGCATTATATGAAGATGTAGACTAAGTTAACTTTGTTGAGATATTTTTGGGATAATTTTTTATTTTCTTACTGTTGTTCAGAATGGATTTACTCCTCTGCATATTGGAGCCAAGAAAAATAGAATAGACATCGTACTGATACTGTTGAGGCGTGGAATGGACCCTGATGTCGTAACACAGGTAACAAGTTCTAACTTCGTTACAAGATTCAGATTTTTTTCACCATCTCACCCTCATAAAATTAGGAATAACATTTTTTTTCATCCTATTACCGAGCTCAAAATTTACCACCTTTTCTTGTACCTATTACTCGTTCTGTTGGTGAAACGGAACGGAATAGTAAATGGCGCGAAAGCGGCGGTAGAGGGAGGCTTGGGTCGAGTCGTCTCCGTGCGCGACCTGATCCCATTCCTCTCTCGTTTTTTCAATCCTCAGCTACTCTATCGCGCTTTGTTTTACTCACAAAAGGTACCCCTTTTGGTTTCCTCTTGTTATAGGCCATTCTACACGTTCTGACTAGAATACAAAAGAGATTGGCTTGAAAACGTATGTCTAGGTTTTAAGTTTTTTTTGGTTTTCTTCTGTTTTTTTTGTGTTCCACAGACTGGCATCAGTCCATTGCATTTAGCCGCCAAGGAAGGACATGTGGAGCTTTGCGAACATTTGGTGGAGAATGGAGCGTCACCAGGCGTTACCACTAATGTAAATAACAAAATCATGAATCACAAAAAGTTCAAGGTTTTGGCTGAAAAAAACACAATTATTTTTCCGGCGATAGAGTCCTCGATACTTTGATGGAAAGGTGAAGCCACCATATTGGATTGTAGTATCGAGAAGAGCCTGGCGCTAGAGCTTACCAGGAAGATGGTAGTGAGACTAAGAAACTTCCCGAGTCTCTCTCCCCTGATTACATGACAAAGCTCTTTATAATCCACTCTTTCACTCCCTGTGACCAAAAACGAAGCTTCATCATAGACCCCCTTCTCCGTTGCAACCTGTCGTCCTTGCCAGAAGGTGGAAAATTTACATCCGTATCGAGGCCGGGCTGGGGAATTTGAACCGGAAGTGTCAAGTTTGTTTAAGCGGAATACAGATGTTATTATCTTTAACTCTGGAGATGTTCAAGGTTAATGGCTCAGAAGAAAAGGTCTACAAGGTCTTGGGTTGTAAAGCTTAGGCAATGTGTAGAAAGTTACGGTCGCCGATTTTGCCTTTTACAAAAAAATTGTGTGGGGCATAGTTGAACACAATTTTTCCCCGGAGGGCGAGAAATTGAAGAAACCAATCTTTAAAAGTTCAAATGCTTAGGAAGAGGGATGTTAAAGCTTAGAATTGATCGATGCATCAATGTCGCGATTAACAACTTAAACGTGAGCAAAACAATTTCAGTGCCTGTTGGAATAAGTAACAATGATGTTTCCTTTTGAATGCTTTAGAATGGACTCACCCCTCTGCACCTGACAGCAAGAGAAAATAGGATTGATGTGGCAAAACTTCTCCTGAAGCACAATGCTCCCATAAACGCGCAGACTGTGGTATGTAAAGCAGATGAACACTTCTTTTTTTTTTTTTGCCCAAAACTATTCTTTTCTTTATCTAGCCTGCAGAGCAATCGTAATTTTGACGCGCCCAGTGCTCAGTGTTTTCTGGGCCAAAATTTTTCTTCTTGGCCGTCATCTTTGATCTTAATAGAAGCGGAAGGCTTGGGAGAGAAAGAAATTTGTACTAAGGGGTGAGCAACAGTGAAAAAATAAGGAGGAGGTGAGGGCGTGGAAGTGACTCTAACTCCAAATTTAACATGGCTGGTTGAGTAAACGATCGCGCGCTTCTTAACGTTAACTCGTGCTAAGAAGACGCCTGCGCTACAGGCTATTCTTTATCATAAGCCATCTTCAGAAAGCTTGCGGGCTTTTCCAAGAAAACGTGGTTTTAGATGCGCTTTCATCATTATTTCTGGAAAACTGATGAGAAAGTATCCACAGAACTGTCACCCCTTGGGTAGGGGAAGTAAAAATTTTCATGCATTTGATGATTGCGCGAAGAAACTTCGTGGGTAAGATAGTGGCTATTAATTCCCAGAAGTGATTAACATGTAACGTCTCCGAAAGATTTCCCTACATTATACAACAAACAAACGAGAATGCTCAAACCTATCAGACAGAATTTGTTACCTTGATCCAACACCAAATTCTCGTTAGTAATTTACCAAGAAAAATATAGCATCTAGTCAGGAGAATTAACAATCAGATCTAGGAAGTTAAAAGGTTTACTAATGGTGAAGCATAGTACAGGCCAGCTTTACCAAAACCAGTGTAAATGGAGCCGGATTTTGTTCCAACCAAAAATGTGATATTCTTGTTTTTACTCTACGTTTTCTCTTGTCATCAGAGTGGTTTCACGCCATTGCATATTGCCTGTGTGTATGGTAATTTTGAACTGGCCAGGCTACTAATTGAAGCGGGAGCAGAGATTGAAAGTAAAACAAAGTATGGTTACACAGCACTGCACCTTGCTGCACAGTATGGCCATAAGCTGATTATTGAGCTGCTTCTGGAGCGTGGAGCCAATCCGAACGCACAGACTAATGTGAGTATTGTTTAAGAAGCACTTATTACCGGTCAATTTACAACCCGCCACGGCGGCGCCTGTTTACTTACAAAACACCCGGGGCGGGGCTAGTGATCGTAAAACGCTTTACTCACGTTTTCCTCTTCCTTGTCCAATTTCCAGGAGGGTTACACAGCACTTTACATCTCCCAGAGGGTTCATCTGAGCACCGAAATCACGGAGAGACTGTCTCAAGTTACAGTAGTCACACAGACAATTAGGTTAAAGCGAAAACAGGTCAGTTATGTTATAAATGTGTGTACAATAATGATAACTGATATTGCAGAAAGTGTTAGATATTTCTCTAGCGACTATATTTTACGTCTGGCCACCATTTTTTTATTTAGTCCACCTAACGGCCATTTTCAAAATTTTTGTGCATAAAACCCTGCTAAGCATAATTTTCCTTTGCCTTTGGAAGATTTGTAATGAGCCCAGGGTGTCAAGTTCCTATTTTTTTCCTATTTTTTGGCCTGCCTCCTATTTTCTCCTATTTTTTCATGAAATTCCTAGTTTTTACTATTTTTTTTAGGGTTTTACTAGGTACACAGAAATATTTTGAAATATTTGAAATAAAATTGCCAATAAAATTGATAAATTCTACAAAAAAACTGAAACTTCATGTCAAAGAAGACCAGTTTGAAGCCTTTATGAGTGATTTTCTTTTGAAACTAGTGCCCAGACTTTAATGGTGCCTGTTAAACATTAAAGCATTGGGTTGTGGAACAGAGTTTCTGTTGGGAGTGTTAAGAGGATAGAACTCAAAGAAATCCTCCTATTTTTTTTCCTATTTTTGGGTGAGAATTCCTATTTATTTCCTATTTTTTGGCCACTGTCGTTCCTATTTTCCTATTTTCTAAGTGTCATTTGTCACTTGACACCCTGTGAGCCTATAATTCTTATTCATTACACGACTCGGGCAGTCAAAGGGCCAATTACTAAAATCAACTAATCAAAATGCTCTATTGCCGGTCAATATTCTCTAAGTATTGGACCGGGCACGGTCCCGAATGGTCCCGAATGATACACACTTGCGTCCCCTTGAACTTCAGTCGTATAATAAATCTCTTATTAACCAAGCTTGCTCGGGACCGTACTGGAAGAATATCGGCCCCCGGTCTTTTTTGTACGGACCGAGCTGTGCTCAGTCCATACTGTCAAGACCTCGGGCCGATATTCTCCCAGTACGGCCCTCGCGCTTGGTTAATAAGATATATGCAACATACTTTTACACCGTTTGCAGCCAGAGGAATCCTCTTTTCAAGTCTTCTCGACTGTCATTTCCATAGCTTGAGCGTCGATACAATTTTTCACTTGAAATTAAACGTTTGGTTGTTTTCCACTGGTTTTGCATTTCAATAAACCAGGAAGCATACGAACCAATCATACCACGGATAGTTTCACGAAAAGGAACTCCCATTCGACAAACGCGTGCTGTAAGCACGTAGTAGTTGAGTTTGGGTTGCATGACATTTACCTTAGGTGACATTCCCAATATTGTAACGTTGCGTTACAAATACAAAATATTTTTTTGTCAGGGACAAGACGGAGAAGAAGAAGAAGAAGAACCTGACATCGTTTTCAGTGCAGAACCCGAAGAGCTGGAGGAAGAGGAAGTACTTGATGCTCTGGAGGTTATTGAAGAGGGTTAGTGGTTTTTGTTTTTGTAGTTTTTTTGTTTCTGTGTGATTGAGACGCAAGCGCAAGTCAGGAGGTAGGTGGGTTGTAGGACGTAGCGTTTTTGGGGAAACCTCTTAAAATCACGCTGACAATTGGCATCTTGTGCAGATCCAACAATTGCTGAAGAATCAATTGACCGCTTCATGACAATGGACGACATGGTAGATGATGATCACCGCTCGCCAGGACTGGTGCACAGGGACTCCGGAATTTTCAGCTCGTCTCGTTATTCTGGAGCCTTCTTGGAGGGAACTCCCACCGGCTCCCGAGCGTCGGACTTAGACCGCTCTCGATTGTCCGACTTTAACGTATCGGAGAGCATAACGACTTCGGAAATGATCGTGACAGAGTCCGAGCTTCCGTCAAGTTTGGCGGACATGGCCGATGATAATGTACCGAAGTATGAGCCACTAGTAACGGGTGATTTCCTAGTGAGTTTCCTGGTTGACGCGAAAGGTGGTAAAATGGAAAGCTCTCAAACAGGGCTCAAGATCACGCTGCCGCCAAGATCATGCCAGATGCCGACTAGAATCACTTGCAAACAGCTACGGTGAGTGGAGCTGTCACGCAATGCTGTCATGTAATGCTTTCTTGTGTAGAAGCAATACCTAGGCCAGTTTGTCACGTATTACTTTGAGGAAAAAAGCTTTACATATGTGTCACGCAATACTGTCATATAATGCTATTTTGGCTAGAAGCGTTACTTATACTTACTCGTCACATGGTACAAATGTCACACATGCTGGGGCTGTCGCGCAATGTCTTCTTGTCTTTCATGCTCTTTGTTTTTTGGTTAATTGCCTCACCTAACTCTACCTTCGGTTTTCTACACCTTGAACTCCAGGTGATTGAAAAATCTAGGGACTCTGGACAGCCACTAACCCCACGTTCAAAATGTTCCTTGACAATTTTCATTAAATTTTCGTGAGTATTGTTTTACGAAAAAAATCTGAATTAAAAGTACTCTGTTAGTCTATGCTGATTGATTTGTATATTCTCTGAAATAATTTTGATATATCAGCAAAGTTGAAATGGTAAATTGGCCACCGTTACGATTATAAAAGCTGACGTTTCGAGCGTTAGCCCTTCGTCGGCCTTCGTTAGCCCTTCGTTAGCCCTTCGTCGCTCCGACGTAGGGCTAACGCTCGAAACGTCAGCTTTTATAATCGTAACGGTGGCCAATTTACCATTTCAACTTTGTTGATATATTCAAATTATTTCGTTACCCCCACCGACGCAGCCCCAAACAGTTTCTTTAGAAAACTATCAGCCTTTGTTCATATATATTCTTTGACCCGAGTTCACCTCATTTGACTCAGAGAGTATAGAGAATTGAAAAGTTTCTCTTGATTTTTTTTCAGACTGAACAAGCCATCCCTGCTGCCCCCACTCATGGAGGGTGAGGCATTAGCCTGTCGGGTTCTGGATGTGAATCCATCAGGTGTGAAGTTTCTTCAACCGATTTATTTGGAGCTTCCTCATTTTTCTGCGCTCAGGAACGGAGAGAGAGAGCTAGTTGTACTGAGAACTCAAGACGGAGGGTGGAATTGGGATGAAGTGTGTGTTGAAGACATGAAAGGTACTTGAAAAATTTGGTTCCCTTTCCGTTTCCATTTCTCGATATTTGCCGTTCTAAGAGTAAGTGAAAAACTTAGTGTGCTACCGTGACTTGTTTCAGCCATGGATGGTTACAGCTCAGACATGAACATTCATCAAGGCTTCCTACCCAGTAAGAGGTATGCACGCATTGAGACCCACGACTTCCCGGAGAAGTTCTGCATCATGTCAAGACTGAAAAAAGAAAGCTTCGTCGTTGGTTCCCAAGGCGAGGTCCTTAAATCTTCGACCCATCCCCTAGTACAAGTTAAGGTCCCTGAAGGGGCTGTCTCAAATGGTACCAAGATAACCTTGCAGGTTAGTGGAAAAGAGAGCCTTCATGTTCTTCTGTATCACTGTTCACGAGTTATAATAATAATAAAGGTCTTTATTAAGAATTATTGTGCAAACAGACGTGCTACAATTAACATGAATAACATGAATAAAATGAATAAGGAAAAAGAAAATGTATTAATTACTATTGAAAAGACATCTATTAATAAAAACTGATTTAAAACGGCTTGTCTAGACCTTAGGCAAAATATAATTATGCGACCTAGTTCTCAACCGCCGTGTTCTCTGGCGAGGTAAGAGATCGCTCAACGCAGTGTTGGTGGAAGAGATCCTTTGCCATAATTTCTAATAATTATGATTGAAATGTGAAAAACTGTAGGAGATTCGTAAACCGTCAGATAAATAATTCACTTTGTGAGGGTAAATTGTGATCGTCTGGGTCAGAATAATGTTGAGAAGGTATGTTCTCGGTAGGTGTGGCTAACTTTTCGGAAGTCAACATCAGAGTCGACTCTAATATTGACTTCCACATAGGCTGTCGACACCAGTCCCCCTCTCCGGACTTCTTTCAACTGGACGATCAGAGTACACGAGTTTAAATTTTTCCACTAGAAATCAATATAATTTCTTTCCGATTATAGGTTCAGCCCGCTGATGAATCTTTTAATGACTTCGAAGACTGGGTGGCTGTCAGCCCTGTGCTCACAATAGAGCCACAAGAGCTTAAGTTCTCCAAACCCGTGACAGTTATTATCCCCACCCCACTTTACACCCCGGGTGGAGATACTTTCGATATGCAGCCATCTCTACGGCTACTCACGTGTGAGCCACGTGATAACAGGAAGTCTATGTCCCATGCGCCCACTTACCAGTGGTATGACATCACTGATAACACACCGCTGACCGTGGTGAAGGAGTATGCAAGTTTCACGACAAGTCGCCCCGCAAGGTAAGATTCCTTAAGGTAAAATAACCCAACCACCCCCCCTGAAAAGAAAAAGGTTATCTACCCTGTAACGTGGAAATTTTGTTACCCGGTAAGCGCTTTAAAGGGAAAGTACGGTCTAGAAAAAGTTGACGTAGATCAAAAGTTCCTTGCTTGAATTGACCTAACTGGGCTATTCATTTGAGCTAAAACCGTTTTAGTTGCGAACAATGACGTTCCAAAAATCGGCATTTTCAAATTGAAATCTGCCATCTTTGTTATGAAGTAGCAATAGTCAAACATGCTAAATTACATCCCTTGCCGAAGTGGATGTAAACAAGGAAAAGTGCGGCGACGGGGGCACCACTTATTGAATTCTCGACTCGGATTTTAATCTAGCAAGAGGATGTAGTACATCCATTTATGTTTCAAACGAAACATGGCTCGTCTTCAGGGTAAGGAGATACTTCTGTTGGGGAGAAAGACAGAGAGAAAGTCAAGAAAATGAATTTCAAGAAGAAACGTCGACCCGCTCAGTCACTCACGTCTTGGAAATCGCGAGTGGTTCTCTTGCGGCAACTGTCAAGAGAAACCTACGGAAAACGAAAATGTATCCTCCTAAGAATTAAATGTACTGGGACACTGACTCAATTCGAAAGGCAAAGGTTTTTTCCTCAAACACATCCTCGCTGTGGAGTGATAGTTACTTTGCTAAAGAAGACGGCGCAGTGCCCGCTACGGATTCATTTTACACTGCTACTTCTGGATGAGACGAACTATTTTTGCAGTTACAGGAACCCAGCTTCGGTGTATAACGGAACACGAGCCATTTGGAACTAAGATCAGCCCAAGTTGGCATGCAACAAGTTAGAAATGATAGACTTGAAGATCATTCTTCGCATGCGTAAACACTGACAAAATTGATTACAAACACTTAGCTGCCAAAATTAACGCTGACAAAGGCAGAAGTTAATTGTTACGAATTAAATTTTGTTTGTTTCAGCATTTACCTTTAATTTGCAAAGTCGTTTTTCATCTTTATTGCTTAGAATTAGCTTCAACGCAGTTATTTTTCGTTCTAAAATGTTTGAAATGTCGCGACTTGTGAGAAGTAGAGCTTGGTTATTTTCGACGCGCGCCGGAAAATCGCCTCTGTCATACAGTGTTTGCATTAAAAGTTACCTCAATATAATTGAAGCTAAAATAAAACTTTCGATTTCTCTTGAAAGCATAAGCACTGCACAATTACGTCAAGTAGTTGGTTCGAAGACACAAATATTTTCATATTATTTTTATCGTGTCCAATCTATATGATATAGTGAAATATGGGCGCCTGCCTGACGAAGGATAATTTGTATTAGTCGCAAACGTGTTTGTCTTCATAATTTGCGAGCGATGTATTAAATGTGATGTAGTTTTTTCTCCGCAGGAGAATGTGACTGTTGGGGTAAAGAAAATTTACTCGATGGACTCATATCAGACTTAGGAAAGACAATATATATTTGTACACCGCTTGGAAAAGTGCATGATGTTGTAAATCGGCTTTGGTCAAGGGTGGCGACTGAAAATTTACCACATGCGGTGTACCACCATTTCGAGCTTCAATTTATTCGCTTACAATAAAATAGTTCGAAAAAACTCGTTGAATAAATAACTGTGAGCTGTGTTGAATATGGAAAAGGTAGGCATAGCTTTCAGTTCGAAGCGAAGGTCAACAAGGAAAACTTACATGCCTGTATATCTCACTGGAAGTCTTCGTTCTAGAAGTTCCGAGGTTTTACAGAGTTCGGCAAGCCGTCGTCGCGGGTCGTTTTTGCCGGCTAACTTTTCTTTAATATTTCACTTTCCGGCAGCTTGTAGAGGCTTACACCTTTTCCTTTTGAATTTTAGTGTGTATTTTGATATTCAACAACAGGACAGTTCACCTCATTTCAATTATTGGGAGTATTAGAAATTGTTTTAACAAAAGGTCAAACTAGTCAACAAGGACAAAGTGCCGAACTAAGTTTGACTATTGCACGTCACAATGACGTAATATCCAAGATGCCGTTTTTCTAACCACGAAAGTTGTAAAAATGGGCGACTTCGAAGCGCTCTTGTCACTAATACAAAGCAAACTAGACAAAATGGCAGTTATTTTCGAACTCCTGAGGATAAAGTCTTCCTATTGAGATAAACTTTTTCTAGATCGTACTTTCCCTTTAAGGTAAAGTGACATGTTCATCATCCCGGGGAGTGAAGGGTTTGAGCCATTTAGCGAATAATTTTCCCTTTTTCCAAGACTGTATTGTTGTTTGGAGATGTAATGCGTTATTTCCCACAGGTACTGGCTTGTGGAAACCCGTAACCCAGACAATGTGACGTCGGATGCGCGCCTGTTGTACCGCAAGTTAACCGCTGTCCCTTTCTTGGTCAAAATTGTCGTATTTGCCAAAGTAAACCCTGAGGGAACAGAAGCCCGTTTGAGAATATTCTGCATCACGGATGATAACATCGACAAAACACTTGAGCGACAGACTGGTTTCGTGGAGGTGGCGCGCAGTCGTGACGTGGAAGTGTGCGAAGGAAGACCAGTTCACGTTAGGTGGGTTATGAATCAGTCAATGACAACACAGCGGTAAAACGTCGGGCACGCGCGAGGAGATCATTTTGGCTAGCCAAGCGCCAATTTTCCGCGCAAAGTCTCAAAGGAAAACCAATTGGCACGCAAGGTGTGCGTGAAAGATATGACCTGTAAAAGGAAACAGGAGTAAGGAAGTGGAAAACGAGCCCTTCTGCGAACGCAAACCTTATTTAACTACGAACATTTTGTTTTATCATTTTGTAATAACTATGAAAGACAATTTGATTCTGACAGCTTGGAAGCACGCCACCAAGCCATTATTTGAGTGGTGTTTTGTTCGCAACGAACACGGCGGTGAAATGTCTGCGCAAATTTGCGAGCATTAAAACAAGTGGTTTGAGAGGCGGCCCAACAAAGTGCTTTAGACTAAGAAACCTCACAAACTAGAAGGTCGTTTTTCGTTTTAAAGGGTATAACTTTTTTCGGTAAAGCTGAGAACAAAATAGGCTCGAAAAGTCTCAAGTTTTCCTTTTCTCCTTCTTTTATTTCCTTTTTCAGATTTCTTTTAATGTTTCAAATCTTCCTGACTTTTAGTGACAGCGATTTTTGTTATATTTTCAACAATTTTGCGCGGGAAAATTTGCGCGCGGTTGGTCAAAATTTTGGCCCAACTGCGTATACCTTTCGTTGGACCGCTGTGTTTTCATAGCGTGTTGTCGTTCACATGAACTCGTTATCGTGGTCTTGCTCCCCTACGAGTTTTCTGTGGTTAACTTGGCAGAATATCCAGCTGCCAATCGGAATGCTGAGATCTAAATCTTCACAAAACTCCCAGATGTTTGTTTTCCCACGCTCGAGTTAAAACCGTACATCCGTTCTTTTAACGCCACTTATTATAACTTCAGGTGTGTGGGAAATTTGACTCCTGTTACCCGTGAGCCTCTTCAGGTGACGTTTTCTCCTTTTCGTGAGAACCGCCTTGCAGTGACTGTGCGTGTGACCGATCCATCCCAGCCCTTCACCTGTCGGCTGGCATTCCTCAAAGAACCTCGCAAAGACCGCCAAGGAAACGTGCGCACGATCTGTAATTTGAGCATCGACTTATCTGAAGAGGTGAGACATCAACTAACAGATAGATGCCTTTGTTAAAATTTCCTCGAGCTTCTTGAATGTAATATTGCAAAGAACACTCTTCTCTTCCATTCGCACTTGATAAGATTTTTTTTTAATTCACGCGCGATACACATGATATTAACCAATCACGCCTGAAAACTTTGATCTTGAATCTGAGGTGTTTTCTAATTCACGTACAATGCACGTGATTTTATTTAGCCAATCACAGCCAGAGATTTTGAACTTGAATCTGAGGTCGAAGTTGATACTTATTGACGAGGACATTTTTTTTTGTGTGTGTGTTGAGTTATACAACCTTTTTTTATCTTAGATTTTTTCGTTTATGAATTGCTTAGAGTTCGATATTTTTCGAAACTTAATTCATTACAAGATGACATTTAATTTGACGTAGTTTTCCTTTTCCTCTTTAATTTTACGTAGACCGTACTCTAGCCTTTCTAATGGCTGATCAGAAGAAATGGAGACATCACAAGAATACCTGTTTAGGGCAAAAAGCGCTGGAAACTCAATTGGTTCTCTTTTAGATCTTAGTGGTTAAGAGGGTGATCCCGATGTTTTTCTGACCAATCACAGGGCAAAGTAGATTCAATGTTATCCCGGATAACTTTCAAAACTTCATCTAAATTTTTCTGAAATTCGTCATTTAAACAAATATGCGTGTCTGGCAACCCGTATCTATGTTAAAGTATTCTTTTCATATCTTACAGAACTTGAAGAAGGGCGATACTGCGTGGCTTCCTGGTAAGGATTTTGTTTTACGGATCAGTTTTCTCTGCAAGCTTGCTTATAAAGAGAAGGGAAGTACACTGTTAATTCTGTAAGGGCAGGAGATGTCATGTGTGGTGAGCGCGAGAAAAAGTGTCATCCGCGTTTTGCGCGGGAAAATATGTCGTCAGCGTTGAGCGCAGGAAAACGTGTCATTCGCATTGACCGCGGGAAATCATGTAACGTGCATTAGAGAACTTTGAAACGATATAATTTTCATCCCCGCTTTTTAAAAGTATGTTTGATATCACGAAATTAACCGCTATTTGAGATTTGAAAGAGGAATCTGACCTTTTGTAGATTCCTCAAAATGAGCTGAAAATTCAACTACGGACGTCGCCATTTTCAATCTTGCTTATCAACCGGGCCTCATAGCTGTGACGTAGCGAAGTCCCAGTCATCTTTTTCCGGGTCGCAGTGATATGTTCAAAGCAGAAGAAAACATGGCTGATGCACTTATAGTGTTATGTTTTGTTAACTCGTAGATGAATTGTTGGCATTGATCGGCAAAAATGTTGGAACAGACTGGGTTGCGCTTGGACAGCAGTTGGGGTTGACAGATTCAGAACTGCAAGAAATTTCCGACAGAAAGTAAGTCTGAGTGTGGTTTGAAAGTTTTCTTGTGTCATGCTTTTTCTTCAAATATGTAGTTAGGAAAAAAAGTTTGCTCTGTTTTTGTTATAAATTTCCTGGCCAATTGGTTGCAAGAATTTGATCTGTTATCAAGATAAAACCTTTCAGCTGATGGGTTCGTTAATTCTCTTAGCACCTGTTTGCTGTAAAGTTATGGAATAGTGCAGAGAAGTTGCCTATAGATCACAGCATTTGGTTGAATCAATTGAGTTATGAATGTGAACTGGCCACCTAAGAGAGATTCTGAGACCGACGTTTCGAGCGCTCGTGTTTCGCTCGAAACGTTAGTCTTAGTACCTCTCTTCGGTGGCCAGTTCATATAAGAGCCCTTATTCCAGATTCGCGTGGGCGCGGTTTAGTTGGACAGCAGTTTCCTATATTAACATACGCGAAAGAGAGGTTCTCGGGTCAAGCACCTAAAGACTACTAGAAGACGAATAAGAGCTAGCAACTCAGTTGATGAAACCAAATTATCTTGCACTACCCACAATTCCTCTATTCGCTCCGACGAAGGGCTAACGCTCGAAACGTCAGCTTTTATAACCGTAACGGTGGCCAATTTACCATTTTAACTTTTTTGATATATTCAAATTATCTTGCACTACCCCCACCGACGCAGCACCACAGTTTTTTTTCGAAACTTGCCCCTTTTTATAGTTAGAGGTTTAAACTTCCAAACGGTATCTTTTTTCTTTTTTTTCCATCAGTTCTTCTTCACCTATCGAGTGCGCCACTGATGTCATGAAGACTTGGCGAGATAAGGAAGACTCCGAAGCTAGCATGGCGTCCCTCGAGAAAGCTCTGCGAGATATGGGACGAAGTGACATCGCAGATAACTTCAAACAACTTGCTTACAGCAGCTACTCCAAAGACCCAGTCGTTATCGTGGAAACGCGCCATTTGTCCCCAGCCAAAGTGTACACACAAAGCTCCGCCCCAGATAACCGCAGAATTTCTGAGTTCCTGGACTCGGTGGGTGAATCTGACGATATGTTTGGCGGTGACGATTTTGGTTCGCCTCGTCTGCAGCGTGCATCAGTCGATGGGGAGGAGGTGTTCACAGAGATCAGAACCACAAGAGTTGAAAGCTCGCCTGAGCCAATCATAGAGGAGTCTGTCATTGTAGTCGAGAAACACAGAGTCGTGGACGAAGATGGCAATGTCATCGAAGAAACGCAGAAAATTATTGAAGATGGCAACGAAGTGACGGAAGACAGAGAGAAATTGCTGCAGGATTTCTTTGCAAACGACAAAGGTGTCTTGGACTTTCTCGCCAGCGACAAGGATGGCACGGTTGAGAACGGAGCTGAAGAAACCGAAATCTGAACAGACGATTTAATGTGTAATAGAGCAAGACATGTGAAGTGCATTTACGTCAAACGCTAAGAGTTAAAGGAGAATGGTTTGGTAAAGAATTAAGAGTTGTGCACAGATTCCAAAAAAAATATCCGCCTCTGGTGATAAGAGTTCTCGCAGATGAAATATTCAAGCGCCTTGTTGTAAAGTTTTGTGTAGGAAGAAGGAATTGTTGAGAATTCAAAATCTCGTTAGAGGGAGATTTTTACATTACAGTCACAAGTAAGATATTCGAACTTGTGGTGAGCAGTTTTAATTATTTTCATTCATCATGAAGTATGTCTTATCATCATTTGTCTACGCTAATTCTTACCTTAGTCCTGAATATTTCAGCGTTTGCAATTTTAAGTCGATAAGACGTGGCGAAGTTTAAAATATTTTTAAGTGTTGAGACGTCGTAGTCTTCAGGTATTGAGGCATCACGCAACGAGGTGTTGTGTGACTCGTGACAACTGGAAAGAGGCATTCTTGCCGCGCGGGGAAGATAATTTGAATTATTGGTTGTTTTTTTTTTTTTTTTTTACATTTTAATGTAGCTTTGGTTTGTTTCCTTTGTTCTCACAGAATATCATGTTAGTGTAAATTAGCAAGTGTAATTTCTGAGAAGTGTGTTCGCTGGCTAAGTGTTTGCTGAATTTTTACTTGCTGTTATCGCAAACTGTTTCCAAAGAAATCACTTGAATCTAGAAAGGGCTATCTCAACTCAGAGAACATATTATGTATCGCTAGACACTCGGTAAGTGTCCGGAAAACTTCCAGCTATCGCCATTATCCAATCAGAAACGTCCTAAAAAACTCTCTGGCAGACCTCGTGGCCTTATGGCCTAGAAAAAGCAAATCTTTAATCAAAATTGTGACTGGTTGTCGCCTAGCAAATTTAAGGATATTCGAGGTTTATCACTTCTCAAACTGTAAGCTTCTGGTTTCTCTTAGAACATAGCGCTGTTTAGTGGAGAATCTGGTCAATGAAAATGACGGATTTTTTTAATGACTTTTTTTTCCAGATTGAACTAATAGCCGGATATGGTTCTTAGCTAAGGTAGCCTACATTACTTGGTCGAAATTTAGAATAGGAAAATAAACTGTCTGTACTTCAGTCTACTTGTGTCATAATCTACTTTTGGGAATATTGCGTCCAAACAGTTTTCTATTAAGTGTCGAAATTAATCCGGGATTAATCAATCATTCTTAATCTATTAATAGTCTGTGATTGGTCAAAACACTTCGCGCCACTCTCTCAACCAATCAGTTGCCAAAGTAACATCGTTACTTGGTCAGTCGCACGCGTTTTTCCCGCTCTTGTTTTTACTTCGAGTTCTCATTGGCTTTTCAGGGTGTTTTTCTTTCTTCTGATTGGTCGTTTACATTGCTTTGGTTTTGGTTTTACGACGCTCAAATGAAAAGCGCTCTGTTTTTCAGTTCCTTCGCCGCGAGAGTTGAAAGCTAAGACGCACAATACAAGAGGAATGGAAAATAAAACGGAAATCCAGAGCCCAAAGCAGACGGCGAGTGATTTTTTCCTAAAGCATGTTCTTCCATTTGAGATCATTCTTAGGATGAAAATTCCGCGAACATCCCACAAAGCATTTACTTGGGTGGGGTTAAAATGTCTCGAAAGAACACGCACAAAATAGAGCGGACACGCGAGATGACTTCTTCCTCGCGCGTGTGTCTATCGCGCCCGTAGGCTTAATGAAAGCACTGTGAAACCACATCACAATTCCCGAAGACCTCTTTTGTCCTCTTTATTTTATTTATATTTTTAACCTTGGATATTTATAGAGATGCTAATTTCCCATTGCGGACGTGACCAAGAGATAAAAGCTACTTACGTCAAAAGAAACGAACGAGATAATTCCATGGATGCAACCCCTGGTAAAAAAAGGAAAAAAAAAATTAACAACTCTTGTTCGTATCTGAAAGCTAATACCATCCATATGCCCGGAAATAGCTGAATAGATTTATTTTTAAGAAACCGAAATGTAACATTATACGTAGACGATACGTCTGTAGTCTGTTAAAACACATTTTCACACGGGCTGTTGACCTTTCATTTGATTTGGACGGGAAAAAATCATGAAAATTGAATGGAGATATCGGCTCATTCATCAGTTTCATTTTTTTATGTAACAATACTTCACAAAGAAAGAAGAGTTTTAAAGTACGAGGTTGGAAATATGCGGTAGGGCACCGCACCAATCGGGAAACCATCCTTCATCAAAAAGCATATAGTTAAAAAACTCTTCCAGTCATTTTTATGCAATGTACATCACTTCGACCACAAGTGCTGTTGACATTAAAGGGCCCATACCCTTGAAAAGAGGAAAACTGCTTGCCAGGTCGGTCTTTTCACGAAACGCAGGTCGGTTTATAAACGAGACACAATTCTTAGTTGAAACAATGTCCCGGTACAAGGTCCCCTTTTCTACAAAAATTAAAGCTCTCCCTTGAAGCCCTAATTCAAGCAGGGTAGATTTAAACTCAGCAGGGCCATGAATAGACCAAAAATTTCATCCAAACAAATAGCAAATTTACAGTTGTGCGCAAGGGTTTAAACTGCGCCAAGAGACCCTGTTGTCGGGACAACTTCCTTGCGGTTTTGAACCTGTTAATCTCAAATTGAATCATACAGGAAACCCTCAGATTGCCACTGCTGAGCGATAAGGCTAAAATTAGGCTGAAAGCAACAGTTTATTATTAACACCGAACAGGGAATTTCAAATTGAACAGATGAAAAGTCCCTTTGGCACGATCGATCTCACTGCGGGTTCGATGTGTCGCCAAACAACTCCTTCCAAAAACCGCAGCACACCACAACACGCCCCAACCCACCCCACTGTTTTTCGTTCGCCTGCTCATCTCCTCAAACGAAGAACTTATTTTGACTCATCAAAATGTAACTTCACCTTACACACGGTATCTATACGTCATCTAGCATGCAGAAAATGAGAAAAGACAACTTTATCAGGTCTATGATGTTATCTTGACGAAACAGTAGTTTCTCTTGCCAATAAGAAAGAAATGCGAATTTCATCTCTACATTCATGATTTGATGCTCGAAATTAGCAATATTCTGCAGAGAAAAACAGCTAAGCAAGTTCTTTAAAGGTAAGCGATCCTCTATCAGGAAAGTATCCCCATGGCATCTGTAACCGGACAGACACCCACAAATCATCGTAAAATTCAACATATAGATAGATAGATAGGTAGATAAATAGATAGAAACTCTATCTAAGTGTCAGGAAAATAAGCTAGCCGAGGGAGCAAGCCCTCTACTAATAGGGGACACATTTTAGTTGATATGTTCATTACCCCATTTCTTTCCTTGTATGATTCTTTCTTTCTTCTCAGTCCTCTCACGGCATGTTAAATGGCGTCACGTTTCAGGAAATTTACCGAGCGGAAGTAAAAATTACCGTCCCAACTTTCGGCAAGGTGATCGGTGACTCATTACCGTTATTGATAGTTGTTTCCGGTGTGTTCAACTCTCTCATTTTAAGGATGACTGGTAACCAATCGGACCTCATTTGCACAATTTAACTTTTATTTTACATCTTACGTCAGTTGAAGTTGACTGACACTGCTAAAAGTTTCATAACAAGTTCAAGTAAATAACAGCTGCACTTAAGGATAGACAATAGTAATTGTTCTAGCACATCACGTGCGCGGCGTTCTTTTTCGTTCCATATTTGGAGGCTGCTGATCAACAAAGATTAGAGTACCGTCTAACATGGCGGATGAGACTGCAATTTGCAAACAGTTAAAAATTCTGCCTTTCTATCCGCGTTGTTTATGAAGCTTTCTCTTGAATTTATGATTTAAGCCATGGAAGAAGGCTACAAAAAGGTAATAGAACGAAATCGGGACAAATTTCGCCGCGCAGTTACAGTGGAAAGGTTATTTTCGCCTTTAGTTGTCAGCAGTGTTGTGACTTCAGACGAGGCTCAAGCGATTCAAAGCGAGCATCCTACTCAAAGAGTGGACCGACTTTTGGATGTCATTCAAAGAAAAGACTATGAGAAGTTCAAGAAGTTCTGTGTTGTTTTGGAAACAACCTACCCGTATATGTTGAATTGTATGTTCTTGGCAGTCGAACCTCCAACTACAATTGGTGAGTATGTTAAATCGACTGACCTAAAGTAAACAAGTCAAATTACGGTTTAGCACTCAATCTTTCACATTGGTCTACGAGGATATCGAGTAATTATGCTTTCTTAACTAAACGTACTTGCTTAAGTATTTCTTTTTGAAGCGATTTTTGTTACTCACGAAATTCCCGGATAGTACTGTGTTAAACGTGGAAGAAGCTGTAAAGATTTTTGTGTGTGGATATTTATACTCAAGGTTAAGCTCATCAAGGGGTGGTTATTATGCCTTTAGTTCATGATGATCTCGCCTTTAGTTCCTAAAAAAATTTTTGACACTAATGACAGCGATTTTTCGAGAAAAAAATTCATTTATGCTTCGGCGGAAACATGGAGTAGCGTGATGCGTGAAAGCATAGCCTGATGATGTTTGCACGCAAAATATATTTTTACGACACAAGTTGATTTCGGGGAATCATGTCTTTGCACTTGGGCTGAATTTCGTCACATTTCTGCGTACTCGAAAATTAATTTTTACTTCATTTAGTTATGCAACAGTTCTGCCATAAAAATAGGAAAACACTTTGGCGACTTGTAAGTTGTTTGTCACCAGACAAACAGACCTTAAAACCACAACTTGAAATCTTTTTTGTACTTACGCCCGAAGACACTTTTCGAGGATATAAGCCTGCGTTTCCAAAAAGTTTGCTAAGAGTTGTTTGGGGTAAAGGAAGTCTTCAAAGCGAGCATACCACTCTCTTGGTGGTTTAAGACTTCAAAAAGTTGCGATCGCAGTGATGATAAAATACATAATTGTTTAATTTGTGTTATCTTTCAGCTTCGTCGCACATTCGAACTGATCAAGGAAAAACTTCAGATGGTGATAGTGATGCACCGCGTCACATGCAATGTAAGTTTTTGCTGGAGAAATTTCACATTCATTTGCAATCAACTGTGAATTGTATCGCGATGGAAGCCGTGCGATAATGTTTCGTTGCGTTTTAACCTCTGTGCCCTGCGGTATAAATTGGATCTCGCGCACACAAAGAACAGACATGATTGTGTTGGCCCTGGTCCCAGAGGTGACTTAGCTAAAAACAATAAATCAGAATGAAAAATAATCAGGGTTTTGTTTACTTGTGCAAAATTCCAAAAAGTGATATTTGCTTTTCTGTATTTTGGCAACTCATCTAGGGAGGCTTGAAGTGCAAATGAGCAGATTTTTCTCTAATAATTCACAGCGTTAAAGTGATCAGTTATATTGACTGACAAAATCAGTGTGATTGACGTTGGACAGCAGAGTAAATGCTATATCTGTGGTGTTGTTTTTCTTGACAGCCAACTGGTGAAACCTGATTTTCATTGTATACTTCAGTGCTGAACTTGTTTCTCTGTTATTTTAACCATTGAGAGGGTTGTCGTGAATTTTGTTTACAGTTAATTACTAAATGTAACCAAACCGTTGTTGATTTATTGGAGGAAAAGCTTCGTTGAAATCAGCTCTTCAGAATTATCTTGTCAGATTTGATAGCACAATGTTTGCTTTCAGATCATAAGCACACAACACAAAGTTTATAACCATTGGTGGTAAAATACAATCTTTGGACATTTTGGCAGGTTTTGGATCATCACGACGTGTGAATGTTGGTCGCAGTACCAGCATGACGGGCCATGACCTCTGTAAAGATCGGGTTCTTGGTTTAAAAAATGAGTTAAAGACAGTTAAACGAGACTTGGAAAAAGTCACTGCTCAGCTTCATGAATCTGAAGCAGAAAGAGATGCCTACAAAAAAATAAATGACCTGAAAAATGGAGAAAGATTACATATTGACAACAACTCTAATATCCCAATTGGAAATTCTCAGGGAAATGAGAGGGATGAGGAATTTACAAGGCTCAAAAAGCAGTATGTGGAGTGCTTAAAAGAACTAGAGATGTTACGTTACGAGCATTCAGAGATGACAACGAAGTATGATGCTGTATGTCAACAGTGTGAAAGCGGCAGAAAATACAAAATGTTATTTCACAGAGAACAGAGAAAGTTTGAAGAGACAAACCTCGAGCGAGAGAAGTTGAAGCAGGAGTATGAAGAAATTGTATTATTAAGGGAAAGAGAAAAAATTGAACTAAGTGAAATCAGAAACAATCAGCAGTATGAAGAATTTCATTCTGGAAATACATTGTTTGATAAATATGAGTCGCACAAAAAGGAATTTCAAAATCCTTCAGATTCTCACCAAGACTGGCGATCAAAATACAATCACATGTACAAAAGTTATCAGAATTTGGAGACAGACTACTCTGCACTTAAAATTCAATTTGAAGGTTTGCTTCATGAGCATGACTCTCTGAATGTGGAACGTAATGGACTAAAGCAACAAGTTGAGGCTGCCATCAATAAGTACGACAAAGCTGTCAAAGATCGTGACACAGCTTTGAAGACTTTGTATCAGATTCAACAAGAAAGAGAACACGAACAGGAGCAGGTAATGACAATTCAAGTGAAAACTGCCAAAGATATTGCAAAGTTGACTGAAGAGAGAAATGCTGCTCTGAATGAATACCGATTGGTGATGAGTGAACGTGACACAGTTCACCAAGAAATTGAAAAACTTCATGATGAGCTCACTAATCTACAGAAAACTAATGAAAACCTCCAGAAAGATTACTCAAAACTACAAAATCATCTCCACGACACACAAGGGGAGCTGTCTCTTTTAATGGAAGAACGTGAACAGGGGTCGAAAGAAGTCTTTACTTTGAAAGAGAGTCTTGACCAAGCTTTTTTGGAAAAGGATAATGTTGATAAAGAACTGGAGAAAGTCCATGAAGAGTACGAAATGTTAAAACAAGAGAGGAATGTAGCAAGAAGGGAACGCAGTGAAGCAATAATTCACAGGGACAAGATTCTGAAAGAATGTTTTGAAATTCGACAGAAACATCAGCTGGTTCTCAAAGGGGAGAATAAAGAAATGGATGCATTGAAAAAACAGTTTGAAGTGCTTTCGAAAGAATTGACAAATGCTTTACATGATGTAGAAGTTGTGAAAGCAAGGAGAGACTGGGCAATGTTGGAAAGAGACAAAGTCATACAAGACAGAGATTCGTTTAAAATAAGATTTGACAAGATGCAACATGAAAGAGACCAGGCTGTCAGTGATTTGGCTGAACTTCTTCGTGAATCTGATGCCATGAAGAGAAAGCAAGGTGAAGTTGTCACAGAACTTTTGGAACTACGAAGCCACATTGAAATGCAGTTGAATCGAGAAAACCTCTCACAAGAGCTTGTTTCAAGTAGGGATTCAGCAATAGACTCTGATTCAACTGTAAGTTATTATTCCTTATCTTTTAACCATGTACTGGTAGACCCTAACATCAGTATGGAAGTTATCTAAAGACACATTTCCTATTGCACTTGAAAGGAGAATTTGTCTAACAATCAATTTCTTCTAACAAATGACTAATTCAGAACATTGACACTAGAAATGAACCAAACAGAACAACCTAACTTTAGTGATGGATTGAAACAGACCAATCACAACCAACTTATGCCACTTGAGTCTTACAGGCCATAACACCATGGCAAAACTGATCAATCATTTTACCCAAACTGGACTAAGAACATTCTACTGACAACAACTATTCACTTGACTCTGATGATGACTTCCACACAGGTTGTCGAAACATCAGTCACCACCACTGACAACGGCCCTTCTCAGGACTTCGCTCACCCAGAAGATTACATAACACTTTCACATGTTGCCCCCAGGTTCAAACCATTTACTGTAAGAGCTTCTAAAGTTTGGAAGCATTTGCTTTATTCTCATTACCCTAGAAGTTAATTCAGGGGTGATACGGCATGTTTATCACTCCAAAGGGTGGAAAGGTTCAGACAAGGCTGCAATTAACCCTTTATAATTAACTCCTAGAAGTGATCAACATGCAACTTCTCCCTATAATATCCATACATTATCCAGCAAACAGGTAATGAGAATACTGAAACTTATCAATTAGAGGTTGTTGTCCTGATCCAACACCAAATTCTCCTAATAAATTCACAAGGAAATGTGTAGCTCCTAGAGGGGAGACTTGAGGTAAGTTTGAAAGTAAAAGGCAAATACAGTGTATGAAATTGTAGGGAGCCAGGTTATTGTATGAATAGAACTCTCAGTGAAATCTTTTTGGTTTGTAAAGTCTAAAGAAGACTTAATTGTGTGATGAAAACTTTTTACCTTTACAGTGATAATCTTGTAATTCTTCTTTATAATATCACCCATGATATTCACAAATTAAGATCATGAGAACAAAGGAAATGATCACTAACCAAACAAAGTCTTGATTATTAAACAAATTCTCCTTGTCAGCACCTTAGGAAATGTCTAGAGAACAGTATGGAGAATATGCAGACTGATGTTACGGTGTAAACAGTTGATGTTAATCTATCTCTAAAAATGTGTGGTTGGTGACACTGATACAAGTTTACTGATTTTTTCACAGGAATGGGAAACAGAATCTGTTGTCTTAGAAAGGGTGAGTTGATGATAGTTGTAATGTTACTTCAGTCTGTTAGCTCTCAGTGGTGCAATTTATTCACAAATCATATCATTTTTTTTTTTAACATCAAGTCGCATCTTTTTCCCAGCCAGTGTGAAACCTTTATCAAACCACAACAATCAATAGATTTCAAGGCTTTTTACAAACCAGCCCAGTGTTGTTGGATCATTGTACAAATAGATAAATCCTGTATTTGAGCGACTAGATTTTGTGTGCTTGTCAGATTTCTAAATCACTTGCATGATTTCAGACCAAATTGCAATCCACTCAGTTTATTACCATGATAGTTAATTTTTTAACACTTTCACTCCCAAGATCTCACTAGCAATTCTCCTTACTGTCTGCCATACAATTCTTATGATGTTAGTTTGGAGAATCTGGAATCGTATCAACCAGTAATCCCTTATTTGTTCTTTTTCTTTATTCTCATCACTTCCCTTGATATTGTATTGATATTGTAAGGAAAAATTATATATTGGTCACTCAAGTTTGTGTATCCTCTTAACCTGTTTGCTGGATAATAAAAGGATCTTATAAGGAGAAATTACATGTTAATCTCTTCTGGGAGTTAAAGAGTTAAAGTGGTGGACAAGCTGAGCCCGGTCGTCCAAAGAGCAAATAATGCTGTCCTACAGATAAATCCCTATCTAGGGGATGTGTTGCCAAATTGCACTGCGCTACCCATTGGGTAGGGATATTTCCAGTAGATAGCATCATCTAACCTTCCAGCGACCTGGGCCTGGTGGTTTTGGCCGGCTACCAGCTCTTATTGGCAGTGCTGCTCAGAGGGGTTTTCATAATCGGAAAGGGCTAAATTTGTGTTTGCCCCAAAGTTAATTCAGATTGTTTTTGCTCCAGATGAATCTTGACGATGACCTCGGCATTGCCATCGCTGGTGGAAGAGACACTCCAGCCATTCCTAATGACAGCTCCATTGTTATAACAAATGTTGCCAAAGGCAGCATTGCTGATGGAAAATTAAGGTCAGTTGGAATATTATCTGTGGCCATCAACTGCTCCAGGGTTGCCATTGTGAGAAGTAGAACTTTTGGTGACTAAAATTTCTAGCAAAAGTTGCCAATTTGATCATGGCAGTCATGCAGCAAACTGCAACAATTTTTTTTCACCATTTAGTATTTATGGTCTAAGGTAAAGTGACAGGGAAACAAACTTTATTTTCAACTTACTTGTTCCTTGGGACTAGTAAAGTGTTTATTCTACTTGTATGGGCCAGAAGCTTACTGTCCAAAAAAATCTGATAACAACAATAACTGGGTTTGCTTGGAAACAACTTGTACATTGTGCTAAAATTTGTGGTTGCTGTTAAATTTTTGTGTTTGAGAAGTTTGATGTAGTTCTGATTTTGATTTTAATTGTTGGTTTTCAGGGTGAACGACTGTGTCCTTAAGGTGAACAACATTGACCTGACAAATGTGGAATACCGCACAGCTGTTCAAGCAATCAGTAGGGGAGAAGTTGTCAACATGGTCAGTGTTAAGTTCATGAAAACTTTCACCTTATCCTTGCACTTCCAAGATGTGCACCTTATCCTTGCACTTCCAAGATGTGAATCATATAAATTCTCTTTATTGTTTCCTATATGTGTTATGTGGGGAGATACATTGGCCCAACAGTTAATAACTCTTTGAACTCTCATGAGTGATCAACACAGAATTTCTCCTCATGGTTTTAACACATCAAGCAGACAAGTGATGGGAATAAAGAAAAATACCAATGAGGGATTATTAGTTGAAACAATAGCAATTCTCAAAATTAATGTAATGAGAATTGTATCACAGATAGTAGAGAGAATTACCAATGAGATCAAAGAAGTGAAAGAGCTACAGCACTGAACTCTGGGTCGAGAGACTCCAAGTTTGAGTTGTAGCTGAGTCACTTTGTTGTGGCCTTGGTGAGATACTTAACCCACAATAGACTAGCATCCCATCCTGGAACAAGAGCAGTGAGGGGGGGAAGAGAGGGGGCCAGTATCCAGCTGGATGGGCCACTCGGCTCTAGTGCAAACTTTACCTTTTTAGAAGTTTTATGTGATTTATAATGGTAATTGAACTGAGTGAAGTGCAATTCGGGCTGAAATCATATGCACAATTTCAAAATCGAAGATGATGATGATGACAATCTTTAATGAGGAAACTTTTTCACTAAAAAGTGGTTTACAAAAAGGACCTCGAAAATTAAAAATTAAAAATTTACAATGAATAAAAATGCTAAAAGATGCTACTAAAAACTAATGTATCTTATGTGTAATACAAAACTTAAATCAATGAATTAAAAATCTTACGCTTCAAAATATTTACATTATCAGCGGCTCGTATAGTTTTGTCCAGCGAGTTAAAATCACTTACAGCATGATAGCCAGTTCTTTGTTTGCCCCAGTTTCTTTTAACGGATGGAATTTTGAGGTTTGCTTTATTTCTTGTGTTGTAACTATGCTGTTCTTGCTGAGTGACTAATGTTAGTTCGTGATGCGTGAGACTATTAAGACATTTATATACATGTACGCATCGGCGCTGGAAGCGCCTTTTTTCTAGTGTTAACCACTTCAGTGTAGTTAACGCATCAGACGCAGAGGAATACAGTGGTCGATTTGAAATCACAAGTATGATTTCAGACCAAAATTGCATGACGCGGGTTCAATTACCACTCTATTACATCCATTTTGAAATTGCCCAAATACAGGACTTGGTCAATTCAAATATTTTACTGATGCAGTACTGAGCTGGTTTTTAAATAAAAAGCAGAACCGGAAACGCTTTTACATCTTATTTTTGTCTGCAAAACAGAAAGACTTTGACGTCATGTGTCAAAAGCTCAGTCAAGCATAAAATGATGTGATTTAGAGCAACAAATGGTGCGATTTGTGAATAAATCACACCAATTAGAGCCAATCAGATTACAGGGACCACCAGTGATTTCAAAGTGGATGTAATAAAACTCTTTAATTCCCAAGGCGCAATTGTTAATTCCCCCTTTCGCTGCTGCATGTTTCCTTGCAAATTTGCTCTGTGAATTTGGAGGCTTGAGTATTCTTATCCCCTTTTTGCTGAATAATGTATGGATATTATATGGAAACGTCCTCGTATTTTTGTTAAACCAAGATGGTTTTTAATTTTTTAAACTTTTCGATTTTATCGCAATTCTTTTTATAGTTAAATTGTTTAACAAATCTCTTCTCCTGTGTTATTATATGGAGAAGTTACATATTAATCACCTTTGGGAGCTAAGGGTTGAGGTGTAAGAATAGTCCATTTACAGTTGTGTGCTTGGTTGCCAAGCCTTTGAACGGGAGTGAGGCTAGGGGTGACCTTGTTATGATACAAAACCTTGCCGCCTTTCAAATGTAAATAACTTTGTTATCATGCTAACCAGATACAGGTCTCTATCACAACAAGGTCACCTTTAGCCTCACTCTGAATCAAAGGCCTGGCAACTAAGTACACAACTGTAAAATGGCCTATTGTGAGTTATTGATGCACTTGTGTGTCATTGTATTTCTTCTTGCAGACTGTCAAGAGAAAAAGACGTTTAGGATCGAGGCCAGTCCTTCTCCCAGTTAGTTTAATGCTGACAAGCAATAGAGGTAAAAAGTAATGCTGTCTTCTGTTTTGCAGGGAGTGATAATGATATTTCCTTTGGGTTATATTCACTGGGAGATGGGGATCTTAAACCTGTCATTCACAGGAATTGTCAAAAGAAACTTTCCTCCAACAGCTGTAATACGTTTCCTAGGAAAATGATCAAGTTAAAACTATTGTGTGATCGGGTTAGCTTTTTCGTCCCTAAAACCTCAAGATGTAAAGATCAATTTTCTATTCTGTTTGCCATGCACTTCTTGTAATGTTAGATCCACGAATGTGGTGAACATCTCCTTGTTGATATTACTGAAGAAATGTCAGGGAAAACTGGACAAAATGCTGGGTAGTTTGAGATGAATCAATGTTCCCTTCAGAAGGAGAAAACAAGTAGGTATTTTTGTGACTTGTCTTTTCTCGTGACTTTCCAGAGCTGGGGATCAGAGTTGACAGTACAAATCATATCAGTTCAATTATACCTGGCAGTGTTGCTGCAGACGAGAAAACCATTGCTGTGGGAGATAAAATTATTACAGTAAGAGTTTTTTGAATTCAGTCTCGTTTGAACTGTATTCTATTTAGTCAAATTCGAAAACATCAACATTTGTTTCTCGTTGTTAGATTTCATCTTTATTTTCATTTGGCTGGTGGGTCAGTCAGTAAGAAAGATTAACTTGTTTTGGTCTCGCTATTTTAACCCGTTGAATACCCAAGATTTGATTTTTAATTCTCCCCTATAGCTTCTACCCATTTCCTTATAAATTAGTTTCGAGAATTTGGTGTTAGATCAAGGTAACTACTTCTACATGATAAGGTTGAGTATTCGCATTACTCGTTTGCCGGATAGTGTATGGATTCTTTAGTGAGAAGTTACATGTTAATCGCTTCTGTTTATTTTCGTCTCCTTTTTGCCTTAGATAAATGGTAAATCTGTTGAAAACCTGAGCCAGCCAGAGGTAGAACAACTTCTATCAATGAGTTTAGTCCGCCTTACTCTTCAAAAATTGTCGTCGACTTCATCACGGCCACAGGTACTTCAGTCTCTGCTGAACGAAGTCAACGACAAGATCAGCAGAGAAAATAACATCTGCCGTGAGGCAAAACTTACCAGGGAAAGAATCACGAATTCTGGCAGCTTAAACGAGTTCCAGATGTCACAGCAAGGCTCGTCATCTGCTTATTATTCTGGGAAAAGTTCTCCTTTGCCTGATGACCAAATATCATCCACACCAGAATCAATCTCTGAACCAGCTATACATTCATTATCATCGACGCCTCTCTTTGAGGATATCAGGGAAGGATTGTGTAACAAACAAACAGATTCCAGTGATTTGTCGACAGAGGAAGGAAGAGCACCCCATCTTGTGACTACCACTGCGGGCTCAACATCGCGACCAAAAACATTTGTCAGGTTTAGAAAATCAAAGATGTTCCCCAGTCCTCTGACACAGTCACGTGATCTATCAATGTCATTTCAAAAGGAAAGACCGGTGCCTCCTATGAGGAGTTGCTCTTACATGTCGGCCATTACCTCACCATCGCAAGGAGACAATAATAACAGTTCACAAGAAGACAACGTTCACGCGTTGTCTTCATCACCAGTGCATTACCCGTCCAAGTCCCTCCGTGAACCTCCTGTGGTTATTGCACGTAAAAAGAAAGATTCGTACTTCCGAAACGGCTCACGTCCACAGTCTGCACCCTCCGCAAGAAACTATCAGGTGGCTGGTAGTCCTGCGTCGTCTAGTTTTGGACGTTATTCCAGCCATGAAGACCCTTTGGCGTTAACTCCGTCTAAGACAAATATTCCTGGGCCTCCTGTGACAGTGGCAGTGTTTCGCTCCACAAGTATCCCGACTTACACAGCCAGCAGTCACTCCGTGCAAAGTTTCGGTGGTGTCCATGCGGTAAGTCAACAGTGTTTGCCTGTAAACTGCCAAAGTAAACAGAGACACAGTAAACAACAGACGCATGCGCATTCAGCTCCGCGCAGCAGACACAGCCGACAGGGTTCTACTCACAGTACCGAGGGTGAGGAACGCAAAACGCGGCATCTGTCTCTCTATGACTTTGACCCTTCGACAAACGCTGAGGGCGTTTACAGGATCAGTTCACCAACCTCAAAATCACAGAGGACGGCTGGGTACAGTAACGGCAGCGGTTCAGTGAGTTCAACTTACTCGATTTCTTCAGGACATACAACCCCTGTTGTCATACCATCGACTCCAATTGTGCCAGGAACTGAGGAGAGCCCTGCGTTGGCCTTTGACTTCAGTGGTCAGTTGGCTTCCAAGGAAGAAGACCTCCTAAACATGTAAGTATTCTGACTTTGACTTTGAAGAAACGAATAGTAAATCTCTTTTTTAGGTGCGCAACGATGTGATTTGAAGCAGTCCAACCTTATCTGATAGGCAGAGCTGAATAACATATGCGCTACGCTAGGTTTTGGCGCAGTAAAACAGATTTTGAGTCGTTTGCATTGTCGATTTTCTATTCTGTTGCTTTCGAGGCGTTGTTTTCTTTGCCACTTTTTTTTTTTTAAACAGAACAACTTCCAAAAATTTTGTACGCCCCCTAAATGGTTTCGAAGATTAATGTTCTCTTAAAAAGCTTTGGAAGGAGCGAAAAAGACCCTCGACGACAACAAAATACCTCGGTTTTAAAAGCCTGCTCCTTATAACTGTCGCAATTTTCGCGAAAATTTAAACCTTGCACGCTTGAGCCCCCGTTGTAGAACGCATACCTTTGTCGTAACATTTCTTCATTCAGCTCTGTCGATGTGATTTGAAGCAATCACTCTTTACCTGATTGATGTGTGTAACACAGCGGTCAAACTTTGGCCATGCGCGATTGGATCACTTTTGGCCAACTGCGCACCAATTTCCGCGCTGAAATTTTTAAAGAATAGCATGAGAAACAACCGCTTTTTTGCAAAATAGGCGAAAAGGATTGAAGCTTTCATAGTAATCTGTAAAAAGGAAACAAAAGCAAGGAAAAGGAAAACTGGAGACTTGCTCTAAAGCACAATTCTTTGTGTGTTAGTTTTGAGAGTTTAATGCTCTATCAAACATTGTCTGGTAGTTGTTGTTCTTGGTACCAGAGCAGTTGAGCAAATCGTCAGATAAAATATTTTTACTTCGAGCTCAAAACCAAGATGGCCGCTCCAGGAAAAGAAAGAATACCGAAGCCCTCGGTCTTCAACGGCAAAACCACAAAAGGGAGGGAAAACGAGTGATATTCGAACAAATCCTTCTTTAACAGCTGTTACAAGATCTTTTACAGCTTAAAAAATTGGAAGGTTTATTTTCTCGCTTATAAGGCTATTTGTCTTTTCCTAATAAATTGTTGATGTTATTTCTGGTATTTTGCAGAGATTATGAGCCTCGACGAGTGTTCATAGAAAAGAAGGACACACTTGGAATTTCCATAGCGGCTGGCTGTCAGGGGGGAGTGTTTGTATGTTCGGTTAATGAAGGAAGTGTGGCCGCCAGAGCAGGACTCAAATATGGTGATCAACTGCTGGAGGTTTGTGGCGTTTAGAAGCTCTATGTTGAGTATTTTTTTTATAAATGAAAACACATTCCTAAGATCTCTTTTAAGTAGTAATTCTCCTTACATACAATTTTTATGATGTTATTTTGGAGAATTTGGTATTGGGTCAACTGAAAATCCCGAAATTGATATTTCTCTTTATTCTGATTAGGAGTCCCCTTGATATGGTATTGATATTCTAAGGAGAAATTCTGTCTTGGTCACTGAGAGGAGTAGAAGGATCAAACAGCTCAGTAACAACAAATCACGAGAATTGTCAAACTCAAGGGATTCATCTTCAGAGAAGTGTTTATAATAATCGAATTTTCTGTTTTGTCATCGTAGTACAATGGCGTGAATCTGAGGTGTGCAACTTACGAGCAAGCCGCCATGATTCTCAAACAATCCGGAAACAGTGTGACCATTCTGGCGCAGTTCAACCCTGAGAAATTCAAAGAAACTACAGAATCGTTATCCAGCCAATCAGAAGCGAGCACTACCTGTGGCACGCCCGTCAACAAAAAGAAACATTCTCGTGAAGGAAGCAGTAACACTCCACCAATCAGAAGAAACGGAGGAATTCTGCCAATCATCGACAACGAACCTCCTGGGGACCTTCGTTATGTATTCTTCACCAAGAGTCCCAGCTCACTTGGATTTAACATTGCCGGTGGCAACGCAATGGGGATCTTTGTATCTGAAATTCAAGCTGATGATGAAGCTATCAGTTCTTCAGGACTCAGTGTCGGAGATCATATTTTGGAAGTAAGAAAATCGATTTTGTATGATTTATTGAGTTTCCATCGGGCAAGGAAAAAAAAGGAGAAAAGGGGAAAATGGAACAGGTACTAACACGAAACATTGTTGTTTTTAAATTAAAACTTACTGGGTAAAAATGTACTGAATCAAGCTTGGGCGAATCAGAATAGGGCAGGGGTCATCTTAGCGAAAATGTAGAATCATAACTGTCACGCAACGGCTTTACGTGACAAGACTTATCAACGTCTGCCAAGAAGAGCACAGTGGTCAAACGTCAGGCATGCGCGCGGGGATTAATTCTGGCCGGCTGCGCGTCAATTTTTTGAGCAAAATGTCAAAGGAAATCATGGAGGACCAACACTGTTTCGTAAAACTAGCGGAAGAATATAGAAACTTTCATAGAAATCTGTGAAAGGAAACATCATTTGTATGTAGAGTGTGATTTTCTCTTTATGGTGTTTCGTTTTATCGTTTCCAATTATTTGTAATTTGATGTTTCTGTTTCAGTTTAATAACGTGGATTTAACTTCAGTAACGGCAGAACAAGCCATGCTAGAGCTGTGTAAACCATCTGAGACTGTTCAGATACTGGCCCAATATAACCCAGCGAGTGAGTAGTCAGTGTTATAGTGTCGTAGGAAAATAGAGCAATTTTTAAGGGAAGAAAGTAAGAGTGAAGAAAATAATCCGGGATTGCAATGGTTTTTATTTACTCTGCTCTCTGATTGGTTCATAAAACTTGCGCCAACCTGTCAACCAATCAGAAAGCGACTTGGTTACCCGCGTTTTCCCGCCCTTCAAGTAGTTGACGTGTAGTATATCTAAATTCCCATTGGTTCCTTCTGATAATTCCTTTTACTTCGCCCTGTGATTGGTTAACCTTCCCTTGTCAGTGACGCCCGGTGTTTTCTAACTGGATTTTATCGATGAATTTTTTTTCAGAATTCAATTCCCTTCGAGACCAACCAGGAGATTCTTTTTACGTCAGGTGAACTTTTAAATAATTGCTCTTTGACACTTCGGAGAACCAGAAATTTTTGCGATGAGCTTGATCTAACTTTACAAAGCAAAAAGTTGGAACTAGTGTAACGATCGTACAAGAGTTTCGTTCCAAGGCTTGAGCGCTAATCCACCAGACTTCAAGTTAGTCGCCTTCTTGTGGTCGCCAACTGTCAATTCCCAGTCGCAATTTTGGACCCTGCTTGTAAATTTCGAAAGCGCAGCGATTGAGTAAGAAAGATAGACAAGATTCCTCAACGAGAAAGAAGAATTCTCTAAATTTGCCCCGCTCCCAAGGCATGGCTTCTTAGTTCAGTTGGTAGTATCGCCCAACTAGTATCTGGACGGCACGGGTTCAAATCCCGTCGATGCCTGAATTCGGGTTCTTCTCTGCAACTGCTGAAATTGCAGCTAACCCTACAAGGAGTGTAGCTTTTATTTTATTTTCATCCGCAGGTCAAATGAAATTTATTTCATTAAAAAAGAAATGATGAAAGATAGAAGAGTAGGTCAGCCAGTAAAAAGAATTAATCTTTTGATCGTGTCTTGTTAGGGCTCTGTTTGATCGTGCAACGAACACCAAAGGTGACCTGAACTTTAAGAAAGGAGACATTCTTTACGTCACCGATACAATGTACAATGGCCATATGGGGTGTTGGAGAGCTTGTCTTGTTAATGAAGAGGACGCTCAGAGAAGGGAGATTGGAATGGTTCCGAGCCGGATGAAGTAAGTTACACAGTAGCTAGAACATTTTTTTATTCATTATTAACAGCAAAGAAAATAACGTAAAATGAACCACTTAAGTAGCGTGGAAGTGGGGCAGGAAAACAAGTCATGGTCTCAAGGGAATGTTAACGTTAGGGCGCGCCTGCTAAGCGTTGGTCTCGCTTCGCACTTCGTTCTCCGTTATTTTTGCGCGCTTTGCAATTCATACTGCGCGCATCATTTAACGTTTGAAACTTCACCCTCTACACGTCAGGCTGTAGAGGGGTGAAGAGTGATTCTATTTTATTCTTGGTTTAAATTATTTATTTTTATTTTTTTTAGCATTGTGTGACTTCGAGTTTAACTCAGGGAAAATAAGTTTGAACTGCTTGATTCAGTGTCCCGTACGTTAATCGTTGCATCGTTACGTCTCCCACTATGTGGTAGGCCGTGAGAAAATTTATTTCCTATTTTATTTCAGAGCCGAGCAGGAGATTTTGTTGCGTAGGAGCCTGGCACTAGCTCATGGAGACGAGTATAAACTGAGTGGAAGAAGGAGCTTTTTCCGGCGAAGTAAGAAAGGAACTCATGGTTCATCTGTCAATCACTCCCGTGAGGGAAGTGACTCTGCTACAAGCATCACGACCAGTTGTACGGGTGAATAAAATTTTTATCTAATGCAACTTTTAGCATGAAAATCTTGAAATAAGCTGACACCACAGAAAGCGCAGAGCTATGTTATTGATAGCTCTCGTTTGACTGAGGAAGTTAGAGCTATTTTGCATGAAGTGTCGAAAGTAATCTGGGACTTTATTGGAGGTGGTTGAATTTGCCCTGTGATTGGCTCAGATAACTCGTGCCGCCCTCTCAACCAATCAGAATTAGCACTAAAACCAATCGCTAGTTGGTCACCAGCGTTTCCCCGCGCTTTAAGCAGTACATGTGTTTTCATTTTGAGCCCTCATTGGCTCCTTGTGATCATATCCTTTGTTCTGATTGGTTTTGGGAATTAATTTGCCATCGGTATTGGTTTTGGGTTTACAATACGCAAGCGAATAACGCTCTTGTAAATGGGGGTAATTTTTTTCCTTGTAATTTGTTTTTTTTCAGATCTTGGTATAGCTTCTTACCAGACAGTGGAAAAACTAGACAGTAAGTGCCAACCAGTGTAGAACAGCAGCAAAGATTTTGCTATCCTGTAGAGTATTGAAGGGTGATGTTAGAGTTGTGTTTCAATGAAAATTTTGGGCGTGACAGCCACAGGAAAACTAACAACATAACCGGCAACACAGGACAGCCAGCTCGAGTTAAAAAACACAGATATTACACGATACGAAGACTCAAACGGGAATGGATAAGCCACGCGGAAACCAGAAAAAGGATGCGGCAAACGTAAAGTTCAGGTGTACACCTACTAAACTAGCTGCTCTTGATTCAGTTTATCATGTTTTAACTGCTGGAGAGCGTGTATCATTGTTATGAACTAAGTACTTTAAAAGGCCGCGTTTTTCAGTTTTTCCGTTCGAATTACAGGTCATATCCCAAGAGCTGTGATTTTGTTCGGTCCGTTGGTTGATGCGTTGTACGAGAAACTCTGCGAAGAAGTCCCCTACAAGTTTGTCCAGTGCAAACCAGGTGAGGTTATTTTCCTTATAGAGTCAATATCTTATTTCTCCTCACTTGCTCTAATACATGAGTAAGTTAAAAGCTTACAAGAATGTTAGACCTATCGCAGAAAGGATATGCTAACCACTCAGCCAATCAGGTGCAAAGGTAAAACTGCCTGCGTACGGTTGCACGCGTTTTCCCGCGCTTCACTCCGAGTTCCCTTTGGCTCATAATGATATTTTCCTTCCCTCTGATTAGCTGTTGTAATTAATTTGGTTTTCGTGTCACGGCACTCGACCAAAATGCGCTCAGGCCGTTTTGACCTGTGTTTGTAACTATTTTATTTTCTTCAGAAATTGTCAACTTGCCGGAGGAGAAAGTTGAAAAAGGAATAGCAGACGGCACGTTTGTTGATTACTCTTGGAAAGGTCATCAGTTGTCCTGTACCACAATGGCTTCCATCAAACAAGTCACCGACAAGGTAACAGAAAGTCAAATTGCTTAGTTTACCCGGGGTGGGTGGGCAAGTTATTCCATGGGTGGGGTGGAGCGGGTGCGGGGGTCTTAGACCAGCGTCCTGTTCAAATTTAGCAGCATACGAGGATGTGTTTTTGTGCTAAATTAGCATGATTATTTTTCAAACTAGAGGGGAGGGGGTGTAATGCGTCTCAATAGCTACACCCTCGCTTTTTGTTGTTGAATCTCTAACTTTAAACTTCCCCTTCCAACATTTTGTGGATAATCAAGCAGATGAGGAACGAGTGTAAGAACTAAGCAACGGTGTATCGATTTTTCTTTAATGTAGCGTCGCGGGTACTGCAATTTCCGCAAGAGGATTTCCACGCTATATTTCACCATATCCTCGGCTTGGCAAACCGAATCGAGTAAAAAGCGAGACATATATTTTTTCAGCGGCGGTTTTTCAGATGTCACGCTGTGTTACGTAACGAAGACGATGGTGGCTACGAGCACGACGCAGGTCGTTGCGTGACATCCTAACTGTTACTCGCAGCCGTTCGTCAGATGTCACGAAACGTCTTACAATGACAAAGTTGGTCCTTGTGTGACATCTCCAATACGTCTGGCTAGGAGATTGATTGGCTGAGGCATCTCACTGACTTGTGATGAACCTGACTTTATTTCCCTTTTTTTTCTCTCAGCACTGTTTATTAGATGTCAGTCCGTCAACAGTAGAACGGCTTCATGCCTTACAAGTCTATCCAATCATTCTGTTCGTCAAATTCAAATCACACAAACATATCAGGTAATCTATGCTTCTTGCGCAGGTATCCTCTAAATTCTACGACACTTCATCGAAATGCGCTCTAGTCTATTTTAAAGGCTGATAGTTTCTAAAGAAACTGTTTGGGGCTGCGTCGGTGGGGTAACGAAATAATTTGAATATATCAACAAAGTTGAAATGGTAAATTGGCCACCGTTACGATTTTAATATTTTGAAAACTTTGTTCGGTTTAATTAATTTCTTCGTCGGTAACCTCTATTTAATAGAGAGGCACAAGTCTCTTTAATACACTGACATTCTGGAAAAATAACTTCTATTTGTTAAAGGATTTTAAAACAGCACATATTTTGCTAGATTNTAACGCTCGAAACGTCAGCTTTTATAATCGTAACGCTAGTCTATTTTAACCGGATAGTATCGCTTTTTCGTCGCAAAAACGCGGCTTAAAATTTCGTGAGCTTTTGAAGGTTGGTACCTGTCATTTATAATAGGGGGTGGACTGATCCAATTATTTTTTCCCCTTGCATTTTTCTTTCTGTCCTCTAGCAGAAAAACTTTAGCCCCCAGGCATAGAATTGATATTGATCCCATTGCGATAAACATTTCTCTCTCTCTTTATAAACAGAGATCAGAAAGACGGTCGATACGTCAGAGAAAAGATGAGTCCTCGACACGCCAAGGAACTGTTCGAATCTTCTAACAAAATGGAACGAGAGTTGAAGCACTTATTTAATGGTGAGTACAGTAGGAGGCACATTTAATTTCGTTCCTTATAGGATAATAATTTTTGGACAGTGGCGAGGCGTGGCCGTTTTGAAAGCGAGTGTAACAGTGGATTGGGTTCGGTGTGAGCGTAAATAAGGACACACGTATTTCTTTTTAATAAAACATTTTCATTTTTCCAGGCATGTTGCATGTGTCTTATTTTTTTTTGTGTTGATTTTCCAGGTGTCGTACATGGAAGCAACCTTAGCAATGTTTGTTCCCAGATTCAAGAGATGGTGGAAGAGCAACAGAAGAAGACAGTCTGGGTACCACTTTCCAGCGTCTAGTGTATCACATGATCTAGTTGTAACCATGGTTACAATTCCGTTTAAAAAAAAGAAAGGAAAAAAAAAGAAAAAAAGCGGACCAGTCTTCTTTCATTTTTTTTAGATCTAACTGCCTTGGTTTTTAAGATTTTTTAGTTTCCCTAGCATTGAGAATTAAAATTTGATCAGTTATTGGTCTGATAAGATTTTTAAAGTAACATGATAAAAGTATTAAAAATCATTTTTTGCTCATTAACCGAATTTGCGCCAACGATGCGAATTTGATTTCTATGCTTGGATTTTCTTTACAAGTTGCTATCATTTTTGATCTCCCAGCAGGCTGGGAAGGAATCGTTGTAAATAAGCTTCCTGTAAATGCACTCAACAGTCCACTGATTGGCTCCAGCTTTTAATTCCTTCTTAATGGAAATGAGATATGCATGCTCTGCAAATTAGTTTTAAAAAGTTTGGGTGCCCAGTCAAAGGTTTTTTTTAATGTTTGAAGTTTAAATAGTAATTTATGATGTAAGCTTTGCTTGGTAGATCCCTAATTAAAAATATTTTTCATATTCCTGTCTATTTCTTATTGTCTTTTTGAGCTTAAGGAGAGTCCAAGACTGATTTCACGATACAGTCAAGTTGGTTTTGTCTAAATTTTCATGTACAACGCAGGCATATCGGACCTTTGCCAAAGTCCTTTTGGGTAATTGGTTTTTGCACAGCTTTTAAATAAGTGGCCCCTTTGACAAGCCATTTTGTGAATACTTTTTCAATCCATTTAATGTACCCGCAACTCTCACGTATTATGCGTGAGTCTCACGCCCGCAGACCAAAGAGTTCGATCTCACGCATTGAGGGCAATTCCTCATGCCTGACTTGAAAATCCGGTTGACTTGTTCTTTAGCACACTAAGAACAAAAATTCAATCCAATATTTCCCTCAAATGTTCCAACAAACTGGGCTTAATGTCGCCTCAAATAGTTTTGGACGTATTCGAAAGGCATCGGAACATCTTCGGACATATTCGGTACTGTTCGGATATCTTCGGTAAATCGACGGAAGTTGCCGGAACATCTTCGGAAATTCCGGTCATGAGGAAACGAATATATCACGCATTTGACTCGCAAAAAGTTGGCAGGTATAATTTAAGTGCAGCCTTTTGTTTGCAATAACATAAAATGTATATGTGCACGATCCTTCGCAGTAAAGCACTATTTAAGCAATAGTGAAAATCAGACCTGAAAAAAATTCAGGCCTGTACGGGATTCGAACCACTGACCTCTGCGATACTAGTGCAGCGCTCTACCAATTGAGCTAACAAGCCAACTGGGAGCAGGCCATCAAATTAATTCGACATAAACCCGTAGATGATAAATCAAACAACAAATATATATGAAATACATATATATGAACTGCGGTTATGAAACGTATATGTGCACGATCCTTCGCAGTAAAGCACTATTTAAGCAATAGTGAAAATCAGACCTGAAAAAAATTCAGGCCTGTACGGGATTCGAACCACTGACCTCTGCGATACTAGTGCAGCGCTCTACCAATTGAGCTAACAAGCCAACTGGGAGCAGGCCATCAAATTAATTCGACATAGAGCGCTGCACTAGTATCGCAGAGGTCAGTGGTTTGAATCCCGTACAGGCCTGAATTTTTTTCAGGTCTGATTTTCACTATTGCTTAAATAGTGCTTTACTGCGAAGGATCGTGCACATATACGTTTCATAACCGCAGTTCATATATATGTATTTCATATGTTTGTTGTTTGATTTATCATCTACGGGTTTATGTCGAATTAATTTGATGGCCTGCTCCCAGTTGGCTTGTTAGCTCAATTGGTAGAGCGCTGCACTAGTATCGCAGAGGTCAGTGGTTTGAATCCCGTACAGGCCTGAATTTTTTTCAGGTCTGATTTTCACTATTGCTTAAATAGTGCTTTACTGCGAAGGATCGTGCACATATACGTTTCATAACCGCAGTTCATATATATGTATTTCATATATATTTGTTGTTTAACATAAAATGTGTTAGTATTCAGTCTAGAATTGCTGGTACACTACAAAAAAAGTTTCAACCACAAGTTCTATGATGTATTCCTTTTATTTATTGCTTTGACTCATACTCAGCCTTGGAATGAAAAGTTGAATTTACAGATTGCAAATTCCGATTGAGGAAAGTCACACCGTCTTAAGACTCATGGATTCAACTGATACTAATAAACAATTCACCTATTTGCCACGATGGATGCAAAAGCAGTCGAACAGCCCTTCACCTTCAACCAATTAAACCATTTTAAATTGAGACTCCCCCCTTGTCCAACTAACAACTCCCATAGACTTAGTGCTTACTGTCCAATTCATTGGAACACAAAACTATGTCAAAAATAACCTTTATCTATGGCTGGCATTGTTATTTATATTTCACTCGACTAGGGTACTTCTTCATTCTTATTTTGAATTAAATATCTTCAGTGCGGCTGTGTACATTGAGAACAGCTGAGGTGGAGGGGCCCCCAGGAACGTTGGGGTTCTCTTTTAAAATTGGTGGTCCAATCACACCAGCTTCTCTAGCTTGATGAACCTGGTTGAAAAAATAAAAGGTCAGTGTGTACAACAATAACCATAAAAACTTAATTGAAAGAAGGTGTGTGACCAATTCACCTCTTAGCTGGATTATTTGAAAGCAATCACCAGCCCTAACATTACGAATTAAATATCCCTTTCCAAAAAGTACGTTTTACTAACAATTTTCTGTAGAGTTTGGTGTATTTAGGTAATTGTAATTTCTATCATGAAATTGAAACCGCGCCCCTCTCCTTCCCCTGAGCCCTTTGGTACATAAATTGTGAAATTTGTAAATTTGATCCCTGAGTTGATGTCTCGGATATTTTCAATCTGGAAAGTGCAGGGAGCTCATCTATTGAATTCCTATGCCTCACATGAGAGGAGATTTTACTGCCCTGCCCCCAATCACTGAAAAGTAGAAAAAAGCAAACCAACAGAAAAAAAAAAAAAAGAAAGTTATTTACCAGTCCAGGTTGATCCATATCTGTGCCCCACGTCTTGAGTATGGCTCTTGGTCTGTACCCCTGGGCCATACTCAAGACTGGGGCACAGTTTTTCCCCATAGGGATCTCCTGCCTAGTAAATAACATCAATGCATTCTGCACACTTCTAGGATCTGTCGTCAGCAAAGTGGAAAGTCAAAAGCATCATGGGAGCAAATCACCATCTTTACAGGCTAAGGTAAAAGACCTGCCAAGTCCTGAGCAAAATCATTTTTTTTCAGCTGTGTCCCTAAATGTGGGTTAATTTCCTAACTCTTATTTTAAAGTACTTCAGCTAAGAAACAAGAATATATTAGGCAATTGTCCTCAAGCAAGTACCTCACATAAAAATCTTGCAATTCCATCAAAATACCCATAGCATTGCCACGTTTCATTGTGTGTTCCACGATCAAAGCATTCCATTTTCTTAAGACAGGATCCTGATGCCTGAAAAAGTACAAAAAAAAAAAATGAGTTAACTTTTTGTAATCTGTTCCACAAATGTATGAAAGTGATCCCTGCAGTAATAAACCCTTGTGTAGTGATGGAAATAAGGCCTGAAAAAAATCCAGAGCTGTCTGGGATTTGAACCCATGACCTATGCAATACCAGTGCAGTGCTCTACCAACTGAGCTAACAAGCCAACTGGGAGCTGGTCATTATGTTGGTTCAAATCAAACCCATCAAGGTGATATAAACCAATGAATTTTCAATATAAGAAAATCCTATACCTGTACTGCAGTTTTGTGAAATTTATGAAAGCGATCCTTGCAGTAATAAACCTTACTTATGTAGTAGTGGAAACAAAGTAGAAACATTTTGAAACTTTTTTCGGCTGCCTGCCCCACTTGGAATTTATTACATATTACATATTATTACATATTTATATTTATATAGCGCAGACTTCTGTGTGGATATATTCAGTTGCGCTTAACAATATAGTAAGGTTGAGATCGGATGTCAGCATTTT